GCCTACTCGAGCTATCAGCATTACAATGGATAGGATTTTGGCTTAGATTTGCAGAGACTAAATAACCGATTAGTATGTGGCTTCAATCCTACAGGTCCATAATTTTAATTACTACCCCATAACTATGTTAAAGTGCTCATTCTTAGGGGTGATCTCGACATAGGGGCCACAAATAAAAATTCTGGATCCGTAGATCGATTGGAATTCAAATTCTAAGTAATATCCTCCTACAAACCATGTTCATACGTGTTGTGGTTGGAAAGTTATAGTCCAATCTCTCCAGAGTGCCAAATTTGGCAGGGAAAACAAGCTGATTTCGCATTTTTGGAGCAATAAATACAATTTCTACATGGAAAACACTCTCAGTGGATTCAATCACATCATTCCCTCAAACCCACTGCAAAAAATATATTGGATTGGTGTTGTGGAAGGTACAAAGACCATGTCTCAAGAAATTGGCCCTGTGACGCTATGTCACGGCATGTCACTGGTCATCACACTTACCAAGGATTGTGCAACACCAATAATACACACCTTCATCACTGTCATTCTGATCATCGGTCTCAGCCTCTGATACTTCAGCTTGGAGATCTAAGAATCAAAGGACTTCTGGCAACTATAGTGTGATTAGCTTGGTACAAAATCTCACAAAAATGAAAAGAACTTGCCTCAAGTCTTCTACATTTCATTGGTCTCTCATTGTGTTTTGATGCCATGATTTCAGACCTATTTACTAGCTATGCACAAATGTTTCTATCCATTAGAGTCTATACAATCTACAAGGATGGTGCACAGAAGGAGAAAAGAAGCCTGATGATGGTTTGCAGGCTGTTTAGCATGATTGACTTTAGGGCCAGTCCACATGTATCACGTCAGCATTGTCACGGGTAACCTCAAAGTACTTTGCCTTCAACATACACTGTCGAAACGGCATTGGTGGGCCAGTGACGTCGGTCGCCACCATTACTAGTGTGTGCTATGGGTCGTTGGTGACAGCGGTGATGAACGATGATGAATCCATCATTGTTCCTGGTGTGCTGCATTCAACTTTGTATTTATTCGTAGAAGTAAATATTCTACATGTAAGTAAATACTAAATAGAGGGACACATAAAATAGAGGGATGCGTAACTATGGAGGGGGTAACTACAGAGAACGTGTAACTATGGCATATAAACACCAGAGGAGGAGGAGGGGTGGGGGAGCGGAGAAAGAAAGAAAGAAGACAGGAAAGACATTCCAGTGCTATATATCTGAGGCACTTTAGGGCCACTTTTGATTTAGGGCAGGCATAGAACATTTAGGGCAGGCATGGAACATTTAGGGCAGGTGTAGAGGAATGTTTCTATGCCTTCCCTAAATCAAAAGCAGCCCTAAAGTACCTCGGATATATAGCGCTGGAACGTCCTTCGCATTTCTTTTCCTTTCCCCATCCCTCCTTCTGCCTTAGCTGTAGTAGATACATTATAGTAGTTACATGACAGTAGATACCCTGTAACTATGTCCAGTAAATAGTGTTAGAATAGTTGAATGAGCCATGAAAAGAAGTACAAGCCATGATAAAACATCTGGGTTAGTGTGCGTGGATACACGATGGATAGAGAAACACGGTCAGATATATGATGTGCCTGAATGCACAATCGTTAATGTGTCTGGACGCACGATGGATAATGCGCCTGGACACGCGATGGGTGACACGCCCTGATATGTGATTGATAATGTGCCTGGATGCACGATGCCTGGTGGATAATGCGCATTCATCTGTCGACCCAAAGCCTTGGTATATTGGAATACTCTATGATCGCTATGGGTCTATCGATCACACCAAAGAAGCCTTCTCTTGTGTTCTTCATGATGGATAAAGGTCAGCCTTACTCCATTGCTATTAATTTCGTGTTCATTTTGCTTTCTCGGCAGATTCCTTGTGCCCTTTGCAAGTTTCTCAATTGAGGCTGGTGTGGACAATGCGACGACAATGTGGGTGGAGGATCGGAGGATGATAGATTCAGTATGTCGATCATGCCTCAAATTATTTCTGTGGTACTAACATTCATGTAAAGGATTTCATTGATAATGACAAGAACCCTGCTGAGCTGGATGAAGTCACTCCTCAACAGCTCCCCGATTGAGAGGGGTGTACTTGTCTTATTCCAATCATGTTTGACATTTTAGGCTGTAAAGCCTCAAGTTAGTTATCTGTAACGTCTTAGTAGATGAGACATTCAATTGAATCAACTGTTACATTAATTACAATAGAAACACGCGCTAATGGCATGTGAGGTGCTATGGTTCTGTATAAAATACCAAACAATATCTCTATCCCTGTAAATCGCCCAGCTTCGTAATGGCCCAAGGTAGAGGCAGAAAACCGACACAGCAGCCAGCACCTCCTCGTACAGCTGGCCATAGAGCAGCACCAGTCAACTTTCGTGAAGATCCCAGTTCTGGAGAAGAATTCAACTTCACTCCTTTGGACGAACATTCTGCCGATGAAGATGTACAACGACCGATCTCTCCCACGAGTGTCGAGCCTGTAGCTGGCTCTGCTGCCTCCACCAGACCTGTCACGCCTTCTGAGCAAGCCTCAGAACCCTCACATAGCCGAACAGCCCCAGATATTGATTTTTTCTTTGAACACGGATCCAAGGCACCTCCAGTAAGCAGAACTCTATGCAAGCTATGCAGGTACATGGTCCTCCATAATTTTATACATTGTACTGACAAGGATTGTTATGTAGGGTGAATGGGATAGACTTGCGCCAGGGTGCAGACAGCTTCTCAGCAAGCACCTCAAATGGTCCATTGTGCAACCACCTCCTAAGCTGCCACAAGGATCCATACCTCCAGAAGTGTCGTGAAATGAGATTGAAAGTCCCTGCACTCACGAGCGAAACTGGAACAGCCTCTACACCCTCTGAACATGGAACACACTGTCCACCATTTTCCCAGGAGGCATTGATACAGCATCTTCTGAATTTCATCATTGCAGATGATCAGGTTGGTCAAGCACTTTTAATGTTTGGTATTAGTCTAACTTTCTTCGTAGTCTATAAATGTTGTTGAATGCCCAGAATTTCAACAGCTCCTCTTGCTTTTACATGAGGACCTTGAGGACAAAGACATTCCCCACCGAACAAAGATGCGCGAATCCATTATCAAGGCATGGCATGTGTATTCCAAGGTCCTAAAACAGGAATTAGCAGTATGTTGTTTCAATTGACCGCTTTGTTTCCTTGTATTCACTGTTCACTCTAGGATGCGCCAGGACAAATTTCCTACACAGCGGATATTTGGTCAACAAAAGCTCGGTACCCATACCTGGCCATTACCGCACATTGGATACACAGAGACAAGTCTACCAAGGGTCTTCAGCTGTGTTCTACACTCATCGCATTTCACCATCTTTGAGGAAGCCACAACGGGAAGAGGCTAGCAAGGATTGTCCTCCATCTCTTGGACCGAGTTGGCATCACAGTCAAGGCACATCTAAGTTTCATTTTCTTTCCCTTTTCTACTTTATGCTTACGTGCACAGGGAGGCCATTGGACTCTCGATAACTGCTCGCTCAACAATGCTTTCCTCAGAGAACTCGAGTTACTTCTATGCCCTCACGATGTTGAATTTAATCAGAAGGAAAATCATATAAGATGCTTCCCACATGTTACAAACATATGTTCGAATCACGTCATTGATGCATTTACTGATATCACCCTGGTAGATGATACAGGGGGATTCATCACATCCACATCAGGCCCTCCAAGCAATCCCAACAATCAGAGCTACGAAGAAGCGGTTGCTCGCGACCCAATTGCATTGTGCCGAAGTACTGTATGAGCAGTATGCGCCTCAGGTCAATGACGTGACCACCTAGCAGAAGTAATAGAGGATGGAAACAAGAAAGGGTGGTTCAAGTCAACCAGGGATCCGACCATGACTATACAGGTTAAGCAGGCACAACTTATACATGACATAAAGGTTCGGTGGGACTCTCTTTATTTCATGATCAATCAGTTTCATAAACTATGCCTAGTATGTTTGAACTTCATCATTCTATCAGTGTATACTTATAAAAATAGGCCATCGAGTACTTTCTTTCTTTGCCTGTCCATAGAGAGCTTGCGAAACTTAGACTTACTGATATGGAATGGACTGTACTCCAGGATTTTGAGATCATACTGGGTGTAAGTTTTTAATATTGATACCTGTTTGAGGCTAAATCTTTTTCTTAGGTACCTCATCAAGTGCAGAAAATCATGTTGAAAGAGTGCACTCCCATTTATCAGGCACAATTCCTGTGTTCAAAATGTTCATGACGGCATGGGAGCAACTTGGGACAGCACACCCCTGCTTGGCCTGATGGACAGATATTGGTATCGACTGGGCGACAACTTACTACAAGAAAATGGATGATTCACCTGCCTATGTTATTGTGATGTGTGAGTTAAGGTTCAAATGCATAGATCATTCAATAACTTGACATCATCAGTTCTCAATCCCTCAATACAATTGTCATGGATTCAACGACACTGGGAGCCTAATTATGTTGCCAGGGTCACTGTAATTATAAAAAATACCGTAAGTGTCTCAGTTTGTTACGGTGACAGTAACCTAATATACTTGTTGCAGATGCAAAAATATCATGACCATCTTCATGGACAAGTTCAACAACCTACACCTGGTACAGCAGCCTCGCAGCAACAGAGGCAAAGCTGGCATGATTTAGCTAGACAATATGGGCTCGAAGATATGATGGACATTACAGGTGCTTCTTTGCAGCAGGTCCAAGGCATTGAAGAACAATTTGAGTTGTACGAAAATGGGCTGCTCTCACTGCGTGGCACAGATATTGTAGGGTTTTGGGTGGTAAGTATAGTCTCTCACTATTTTCTAATTTTCCCCACTGATTTTTTTGTAGATAAGCAATAAAACTCATCCAATATTGTATGCGATGGCATTAGATTATTTGCCCATTCAAGCATCCTCGGTTCCTTCCGAGTGCGTTTTTTCATCCAGTGCCGAAACTGATACAAAGCGGTGAAATCGAATCCACCCTGTTCTAATGGAGGCGCTTCAAATGTTGAAGTTTTCACTCAAGCAGCAACAGCTAAACTTTATGGAGGGATGGGCTGTCACAGAAGACAAACTCGAGTACTACGCAGATGACAATGAAGATTCAGTGGATTTGTTAGGGAAGCTAACTTCAGAAATTACGGAGGATGGCATAGATATTGATGAGGTAATTCACGTTATTGGACAGGATGATGAGGATTGATAGCTTGTTCAATATATTTTACTTATCACAAAATGCATTTGTCTCAAATTCTATTACAAATTTAACCTCATTTTACTTAACGTGCAAGTCATCAATTGTGGCAACCATTTACCGCTATAACTGGTTCAAAGCCACCAACTAAGCTGAGCTGAACCAGACTTGATCAGCTTTCGAATGATCCACAAGCCGGAACTGGCAAAAGCTGCCAGCTCAGCAAGCTGGCTTGTGGCTAGCCAAGCCGCGGCAACACTATGTGTGGGGGTGGGCAATTCCTGATAAGTGACGCTCCTGTCACATCACACATGTCACGTGACACCATCGCGAAACACTGACCCAGTCCCGCCACCACTGCAATCCACCTCTATACCATTGCCCGACGTGCAGGAACGTGATTTAGATAGGAAATCTATACATCCTTCAAGTAGCCTTGTATTATTATTCACTTATAGTTGTGGAATGAGAAAACTCCCTGCCAAATGGTGCTGAAGAGGCCCCCCATTCTGGTACCTTGATTCCCCCTTCAACAACTCATTTCTGAGTAAACTTTCATTATTGACAGTTGATATATGTGATTATAGGCACAAAATGTTCAGGCCAGAATTTTAAAATCATGTTCCCTTTGCATTAAACTCATCCAAAAAATGCGATATCTCACACTTCCAGGACAGATATAAAAAATCTATCAAGAACATTTTGTTTGAATCTTTTTTCTCATCATCTTTTGCTGTTGAAGCATAACCTGGGGGTAGGTGGTTGCTCTTGCATAGTCTATTCTTTGCTCAACAGCAACAACAAGGCATACCAAAGCAGCTTATATCTACATTAAGAAACCCTAAAAGCAGTTCTTAAATTCATTTTATAGTATCTCAAGATGTTCTGACAATTTTTGTACCAGGGAGACATGCACCACACACTAGGAATGAGGGTGGCCATGAAATTGAGGAATATATGGCATTTACATGTTATCTTCTCTTAAAATGCTGATTCTGACTCACTTAAATTGAGAAATGTACTTCCAAATGATATAGAATTACATTCATGTGTATTTTCTTTCATAGCACTGCTCAAAACTTTGTTTATGGTGAGCAGCCTGGGTTTGAGGCCATGTGTGATGCACATATGACATTGGGTCACTGTTTTGGGGGAAATCAGTCACAGTGTGTTATGTCACGCTCCCAAATGCGACAGCGGAATTGCCCACCCCCACTATGTGCAAGTCACTCAGCATGTGTGCATATGCCCATCACCCAGACCATTCGGCTCCGCCCCCATCGCAAACAGTGTGGGTACTACCACCATTTTTGCCCCTTGATCACATTTCCATTGCCAACAATGTATCCACCCCAAACTGTGTGTGCATGCATGATTTATGCACAGGTGCATCCCCACAGTGTGAAAAATACGACATCCACCTTCAATCACATTCCCATCACCAATATTGTGGCCACCCATCACACCTTTTGTACATGCATGTGTATTATACTGTACAGAAATATATTGGGGATTTATGTGAATTGATTTGGATGTAGATACCAGTTGTTGTGAAATGTCATTTTACATAGTCATCAAGGAAAAGATCAACAATCTCTGCAGAAAATTCGGAATAATTGCTATAGTAGGGGGCAATTTTAGATGGCCTAGCCACAAGCATACTCCAGATTTTGACTGTTGGAAGAGATTTTCTATGAAAGGTCAATAATTGTGAATAATGTTTTAATTTTCAAGTAGACATGTGGTGAAGTGGTTATGTTTTGTTGCAGGTAGGGTAGCCTTGGCTAAGTCCCTGAGGCTACAAGTTTGAACCCTCAACTTATGTAAAAAAAGTTTTTTTTTTTCAAGATCACCTCCAGACATAAGACATGAGCCGATATCCATCCGCTTCAAACTTTTTTTGAAGTGTGGGAAATTTTGCTTTTTTGTAGCAACCGCTTTGAAGCGGCCGCTATGGCAACTTTGAATTCCCCTAATGAAAGCCTGCAGAATCCTACAAATCCATAACTGGATGTACTTTTGGACGCTCTCACAGGCCTCCCGGCTCATTCCCACAAAACGGACAACGGCGCCCAACAGGCAACACTCAAAGATGGAACTAATGAGATCCCACCCACATCCGAAAAAAAACGAGGGATAATCAAATCCCATGGACTCAAACAACTCTGACAGCACGGCGACATTCATTGCAGAGGATGAAAGATGGTGTGATACAATGCAGCAATGCCCTCCTAGCTGAAACCATTAGCTCCTAATGACCTAAACAGATACGAGACCCCTAAACCCTCCTCCCTATCCCTGTCCCCTGCACTACTCGAAATGACGAACATGGCAGGATGCGGCATTGTAAGAGCAGTTTCGCTGCATCAAGGGCAACGACACTAATATTGAGTACTCAGCCAAAGGCAAAACATGTCCAAGGGATGCTATTCGACAGTGGGAACGAGTACAACTTCAAAAGCGTACCCATGCCGTTCCGCCCTGGAATCAAAGAACCTGTTACTGTCGATGACCTCTACACACCTTACTGGGTCCACTCTCAAGATGATTTCAATGGATGGGAAAACTTGGCAAAGCACAAACAACAAGTCACCATTACGACTGAACACAACACTCGGTTCTATGCCATCCACTTTGCCGATCAAGCAGAAAACTCCTCAAAATTATGGGATTGAAGTCGTTGCCCACCAGTATTATAAAAAGTGGCCTGGTGCCTTGCTCATCCTAAAGACTCAACAAAATGGAAAACCCATGAACTGTGATCAAATCGACATCTTATTTGTGAAGGAAATATTATGTCGGTAAGAAGCTTATTGTAATACCAAACAGGCAAAAATGCTAATACCGCCGCTGCCCCAGTTTCCTATCCGCAAGGGATGTAGACTCTACCCACAAAACAACAGAGAGCCAGCCGTAGTGGGTCTGTACCATTAACACAATAAATTTTCATTACTCAACATGATCACTCATTACAAACGTTGTTCATGCCCCTGAAAGTTCAAAAACTCCTATATCATCCTTGAACGCAACGATGACAACAGCATTGACTGTTGAACATAATAATCAAAGGGTGAGCCCAACATTCAGCTTACCCATTCTCTACTCACCTCACTTGTTCATTGCCACGTAGGCCAACGCCAACAATGTACACAACCTACGTGACTGTGATGGTATCCTGTTTTCTATGCAGCCGCACTGGTTCCGGTCCCATTGTGAAGTCCGACTTGTACCGATTAGAATAAAACCTTTTAGATTTAGAAAAAATACTTTATCATTAAAATTTAGCCGGCAATTGTTTCCTATTTAATTGTTTCATTATTTGTGTGAAGCCTTCAGTTTTTCCTTTTTTAATGTGCTTTACCTTGATTATTAAACCCCATAATGACATTTGACCATATGGTAAAACATACTTATATCGAAGTGTTTACACCTATCCTGTGGCAATGGTTTATAATACCATTATTACTGTTTTTATTTTTTATTTTATTAGTATTTTAGCTGAAACTTCTAGAACACCATTTGATTTACAAGACCATTTTATGTGGAAAGTTAAGCAATTAGAATAAAACCTTTTAGATTTAGAAAAAATACTTTATCATTAAAATTTAGGTTCTGTTGTGGTTTTGTTTGAGGATCAATGCCTGCGTAGATGACACAGCTGCTAATTCATAATGCTACTGGTTGTAGGTAACAACACATCAGCAGTCTAGATAGTAGCGCCGAAAATTTAACGGGTCTTAAACAATCAACTACTGCTACTGCTACTGCTATGCAGGCATTGATCCTCAAACAAAACCACAAGATTTTAAAGATTGGATTAAAGTTTTAGAATATTTTAAATCAGGTACATTTAAACATAAAGCAAACTACTTATGAATGCTACTGCTACGCGGACACAATATTTGTTAATTAAGAAGAATATAAAGAATAATAATAATAAAAGCTACGCAAAAACAAACCACTGCTACTTTGCTTCTGATTGTTATTAGACGAATTGTCACCTGAAATTCGCAGTTGTAGTTGTAAAAACTACAACTACAGCTACAGCCACCACACAACTATTCTTACTAGCAATCTTTTTAATATTATAGAAATGATTTACATAACACACTGACTACCTGCCCAGCGACGAAACAAGTAGATTGCTATAACTACCCTGTATAACATCCAATACTATCCGGTATCATACCTGAAACTACAAAATCTGTGAACAAAAAAGCCTAGCTGTGACCAACGTGACAAAAATTGTGTATCGGGTTTTGCGCCCACAGGCGCGCTAAGTGGTTATTTCTTTTTTTAGAGGGGGGGAAGGTGTAATCCTATGATCACGACATATTTGTTTACCTTCGCCTTCGGCTCATCATCTCTTCTCTACGCTTGTACGCATATCCCACTTAGTTGACTGTTGGGGATGGACAAGGAACAAAAAGGTGGAGATGATAGTCACCTCATGGTGTAATTATCTATATACCTTGATTTCAGATGAAAGTTCCTCTACTTCGTCGATCGACACGACATGTACAAAAAGAAAGCTTTGGTGCGTTCAACTTTTCTTGAGCTATACCTTCAGTTTAACTATTCCCATTTCATCGCCAGCCATCTCGAGTTCTGCCACAAATGCCAGCGGGTCAACTCTGACCTCGTCGGGCCAGCTTCGCGACCCCGGAAAACTTGACGACCAATCGACACGAAAAGGAAAACAAAAAGAAGGCGCTACTTCAACTTTTCTTGAGCTATACCTTCTGTTTAACTATTTCTGTCTCATTGCCAGCTATGCCAAGTTCTGCCGCAAACGCCTGCGGGTCAACTCTGACCTCGTCGGGCCAGCTTGGTGGCCCCGGAAAATCTGACTACCAATTGATACGAGAAGGAAAACAAAAAGAAATACCTGGTGCGTTCAACTTTTCTTGAGCTATACCTTCAGTTTAACTATTTCTGGCTCATTGCCAGCTATGCCAAGTTCTGCCGGAAATGCCAGCGGGTCAACTCTGACGTCCTGGGGCCCCCAGCAGCTTCGTGACCTCCCAGAAATTGACCATCATCCCTTTCCCGAATCAGCCGTCGTTACTATTATGCATCCTGCAAATGGTATGGGAATGTTCCAGTGGCAAGCTTATGATCGTCTACCCGGACCTGAACTAAAGTTTGGTGTCCATGTTGAGACCCTTTTAAATGCGTGTCAGATCGCTGCCAACAACGAGATTGGATACCTCTCCAAACATCAAGCTCGCGACGATGAACGATTAGATGTCGATCTCGGTTCAATTCTCGCTCCTAGTGACTACTATTATCATGTAGAAAAGGTCACGCTCAATCCATACCCTATATGCCACAACTTCAAGAACTGGACCTTCCCACATGGAGCCATGCCTCGTTCCTGGTCCACGGTATCCCCAGTGCTTCCGGAGAACCCACATATGGCCTCCCGGAGCAACATTAGTGAGATAATCAAACTCAGGGATCAAAAGTGTCGCGTTACCGGATCCAGTGAGTGGCTGACAACGGCACATCTCATTCCCAAACAAGAAATTCCCTGGGTGAGTAGAGTATATTATCTTCTCCATCATACCACCTTACCCTCTAACTTGTTAGCTGCAACGGAATAAGATGCATAGGTACCTTCTAGGCGCTTACCCATCTGACCAGTCGCCCCGCAACTTGCTTGCGCTTCGGTGGGATTGCCACTTTGGTGGATTTGATTGTGCACAGTTTGTTTTTGTCCCGAAGTGGGGTAAAATGGCTGTGCATTTCCTCCGCGGAAGTATGGAGTTCGCAAATCAGTACCACAACACCATATTCCATGTAGATGCCCTATCAATTGAAGCACTGTACAGTCGGTTTGCTTGGGCAGTTCTCGAGCTTGTTGCGGATGCGACGAAGGATTTGGATTTCATGTTTGAAGAAGATGGGAAAGGGGGTGGAAAAGGAGGTGGAAAGGGTGGAAAAGGAGGAGGAAAGGGTGGAAAAGGAGGAGGAAGCTCAAGCAAGCGGAAACGTGAAGACGAGGATGACGGTGAGGACGATGGTCAGGAGGAAGGTCCTGAAAACAATGAAGACAAAAGTGGCACCTATCAACCTGCCAGCCGAACTCACAAGCGACCTGAAAGCTCACGCAAGCGGAAACGTGAAGACGAGGACGACGGTGAGGAGGATGATGGTGAGGAGGATGACGGTGAGGAGGACGACGGTGAGGAGGAAGGTCCCGAAAACGATGAAGACGAAAGTGGCACCTATCAACCTGCCAGCCGAACTCACAAGCGACCCGATGTTCTGTTACATGGACCCAACGCTTGGCTTTCTGATGTTCTGTCTCATTTAGATGATGGTACCGATGCTCGTGAACTTGAGAAAGATCTGGACGCTGCAGCTTGTCTTCCTTTTTTAGGTGTGTATGAATTAAACACACCTGAGTTTGTGCCGCTGACATTAAATTCAGTCGATCCCAACATTCAACCCACGGCTAATCAGTGGGAATTACCATGGTACCCTGGCATCAGCGTCGTCGAGAAACTCAAAAAACAATATGTGGCAAAACATCCAAACGTTCGAGCACACAATCTGCTGGAAAGCAATGAATTACAAAGCAATGCTGCACTTTACAATAGCGATTGAAAATAGAATTCCATTCGACCTTTTGCCAACAAACCTTTGAGTCTGGAACGGGCCTGTGTTAAAGTAATAGGTATCACATTCTAATCAAAACTACAAAACAACATTCAAAGAAATTATTGAGATATGACACCGTAACCGGTCTTCGAGCCTGAGTGGGGCTGCTAACCCAGAGTGCCTTTCACTGCATGGGTCAGATGGGCAGCTACTACCACGGGAAAGGATAAGGAAACCCACGACGCGACCCAAGAAAACAACGATCATCGCAACGCTCTTCAACTTTGGCGCTTTCTTCGTAGATGGAGGAGCCACCACAACGGGGAACCCGATTTCCGCTATCGAAGGGAAGATCGTTCGCTGGACGGAATCCCAGCATTAACAGTTGCACAAGTGACAAATAATGAAGATGGAATGTATCTCTTCTCGTACAGCGTCTGCGCGTTAATTTGTAAAACATCGATTATAATACAAGAAATCCGTGGAATTGTCAATAAGCAAAAAAGCAATGCAAAAGGAGGAATAGATCGGTATGAGATGTACAGTAAGTAACTTATATAAACAAAAAGATAAAGATGGGTTGTACAGGTCGTTAGATTGGAGGGTATAGAGTAGTTCAGTAGAATGCACGGCGTAAGATGTTACTGAGAGTTAGATAGATGTAATTTTGCTAGACATGGTGGGGGTGGCCGACATCTGGGAGATCAAGCAGATCTATTGGTGAAGTAAAAGTCATCACCTAAATTAAAGTTGAGACAGGAATTCAGGACGGCAAGGTAAGGCTCACATAGGGATGTAGTTGGTTAGAGACTCCGGGTCGTCGCCGGAGATCTTCTTGTGACGCAGATACTGCTGCGTCTGAATGCGTAGGCTTTGCAAGCATCGCGAACGAGCCAGCCGAATGACGTCGCGTAGCTGTCGCTTGCGCTTGGTGTTCCCACATCGTGTCATCCGAACGTCCTCCGGATGCAGGTTTCATAGACATCACTGTCTGGGAGCGACTTGATGGCGTCAGCTGAAAAGGTACAACTGAGGGCATCATGACGCCTTCCGTGTCGGACTCATAGCCTGGGGAAATATCGCTGTCACCTGAACGACGGCGGCGTCCTGGGTGCGACTGTCGGTCGTGTCCATGGAAAGGGTGGCCAAGTTGTTGTGGAAACTGAAAAGCACTCATTCGCAGGGTCGAGTCAGGACTGACAGGGTGACGCCGGTATGTAGATTTCATGGAAGACGGATTTCGAACATGTTGGTAGTAGTCGGGGAGTGGTGAGCTGACAGTTGGTGGCTTTCCAGACATCTGTTGCGATTCGACTCTCGCTTTGTATCCGGACTCTTGCGTTATAGAGCGGGGGAAGAAAATCTGTGTGATCGTGAGACGATCTCAAGCAGCTCAGTAAAGGTTTGAACCTACGAGAAGGGTAATGGCTGATGATATGAAACAACCGATACCACCCATCATCAAAAGAAAATCTATGGAAGCGAAGAAGTGAGCATTTGTTGGTGACAACCGAGTCGAAGCCTACCCAGAGCAAATCTAATGGTGCACGATGAGCTGGCAAATCAACCAAATGCGGTCCGGACAACACTTACGGGTGACCGACAATGGGGTACGGAGCCTTGATACCATCCAACGCGATTATCAAAAGAGGAACGGTGAAGAGGAACCGAAACAAGACCCGAACGCGCTGTAAACAGAAAGGTAAGTGTGTGATGCCTGAATACAGTGGAGAAAACAGACATTTAGCTGATAAAAAGTGGCGAGCCTAACCACAACATTTGGTTCGGCACCCTCTGCTTTCACGTGTTCGATGAACTGAGGGAATCGGGCCAAGACGTAGAGAAAGCATAGTGTCGTTGATGTTCCTGCCGATGACCCCACGAGAAAAATCCATACTTGACACTGTTGGGTTCAGCGGGATAAATCGTTGGGCCAAAAACATCCACATACCGTTTCCAGGTCCCTCCTTGCGACCAGGGTAGTTAAAGGCATCCCGAGGATAGCGGCCATGCTACCTACGATAAATTTGGTAAGACGAGCCCTAGGATATAAAAGAAAAACTGAAGCACCAAGATACCATGTCCGGAACTCCCAACTATGGAACCAGGCCCGCTTGCCTGGGCCCTGGTGCAAAAGAAATAACCAGAAGGCCAGCTCTGGACAAGATGAGATGGGACTTTATGGGAGTACTGTCGGAAATACCTTCTAGATGAGTAACACTTCATGGCTAAGTGGTTAATTAATTGTTCTTCTAATTGCAATCGATTCCGTACAGTTCAAGTGACCAGCCAATGCTTAAGAGGAAATAGAGTGGCAGCAACCAGGCTCTGTTGTGTGGCTGCCAAAGGGAGAACGGTCGAGGTATTACTGTAGAAACAAGGTCAGATATTATAGAGAGTTTGGCTTTGAAAGACGATTACTTTGGCCAGTAGGTGTCACGACGTAGCCTGCTCTGACGATTAGAAGTGAGGGATTTTCGGCGTGTGTCATACAAACCTTCCATGAACTTGATAGAGGTCATTGAGACGCTAAATAAAACCAGTAAAGGGAGCGTGGCGACGTAGGAATAGCTGACGGAAGGAAATATCAACTCGGCCATGTGGTGCATAGAAGGAGAAGTGGACATACGTCATGACCCTTTTAAAAGCACCTGGCTGTCTCCCCGCATCCCACTTCAAACACTTGAATCTATCATAAGCCCATAGGTGTAGACAAAGAAAGGCGAGGAACTGCTCGGGGCGAAAAGAGATGGGGTTAACAGTTCGGAACTTTTAACGGGACGATTACGCACAATGCATGATAGTATTGCCCATAGCAGGTAGGCCGTTGGAGATCCGTTGCTCATGAAAATACAGACCAAAGCTTTGGAAAAGAGAACGAGGAAGCCAGTTTGATGCAAGGGTTGAGGAAGAAATTGGGAAACTTGGGATCAACACCAACCTCGAAATCCCTAAAGGTCCTTGGCAATTCCACCCTAACGGCCGTTGCCGCAATTCCGGATCGCCTGATTATTATTCGATGTCACCCGCGTGATGCAAAAGTAACAATTTGATATTTCGAACATCTCCCACCAAGGGGCATGCAACCGAGCATCCGGCCATTTCAACCATACCTATGACCCCGTGAGAACTAATACATGAGCACACTCCAGTCACATCGTGTCACGCTGATATTATCAAGCCAGATTGTAATCTACGCCTTTACCGTCTCTTCTTTCCAGTTGGTCCAACAACACTAACTGTTGGCGCTCTTTCTTGCTTCAGATCCTCCTTCAGCATCTCGATGTTATCGCTTCCGGAAAGCCATTTGACGGACTCGCCAGGGCAAGAAATTTGTATGCCTCATTCTGAAAGGTTTTCGGGTGTCGTAATTAGAAGGATGGGAATTGGTTGGACAACAGGTTTTAGATCTGGAAACCCTTGGCTTCTCTGGAGTCTGAAACATGTAGTGCCACACCAATGCTTGAAGAAAGACCGAGGATGTGCAGTAACTGTGAGGGTAACATCAAAATTGCAAACATCACAACGAATAATGTGATAACAGTTCTGATCTATAGTGGTCAGAATTTCGGGAGCACCAGGCAATCTAATAAATAGCCTTTGGGATCGTGAGCGGAACAAGTGCTTTCGGCATGAGCTAGAAAAAGAGAGAAGGTGGGGGAGGATAATGATTTCATCTCTCTACCTACTGGAATACTGTGGCCACTTTTTTATGACAGGGTCTGCTGAGGGTCTAAATCTGAGGGTGCAACAAGTGTGTTAACGTTGCAGAGTATGTATAGCACGATACAAGCATGATCAAGTAAAGATAAGGTGCAAGCGTGACAACTAATTTGGGCGGCACGTGATAAATCTCACGGGGTCATAGGTATGGTTGAAATGGCCAGATGCTCGGTTGCATGCCCCTTGTCTCCCACTGCCCAGACTCGGTTACTTTCTTGACGCCAACGGAACATTAAGAAATTACCTTTTTCTGCACCTTTTGTTGGTAGTCAATAAAATCGTTCTTCTTTTTGAATTCGATCATTTTTTGGTTGAGTATCACGATCTTCCCACATGTAGAAAGTCACAGTGAAGTTGTGAGTGTATTTTCTGCCGATGAATTCAAAAAAAAGAAAAGAGGAAGATGACTGGCTTGGGCTGCTTTTTTTGTTGGTCAAAACTATTGGTGAGTTGATCAAGTGAGTTGCAGGTGAGTTGCACATTGTCTGCATCCTCACGACACGATCAATTAATGATGTAAGGTCATCAATGGTCCGTGCGCCGTCGCGAGGTATAAAAGTTGCAGGCGTACAAGTGAACATCTCATACTTACCTTGATGGCATAAGCTCCTTCAAGTACCTGGGTTTATGGGCTGTGGAGATCCTCCATAGCACGGCGACCTTGTCCTCAGGGGGTGTCTGCGGCTTGTATGTGCTTCGGTGCATGCACCGTCTCAATATTTTCCTGTCCCACTTCGGCCACTCTGGCTGGGTGGGCTCTTTATTTTATGACTTTCGTTTCTTTTAACCCTAACCCTAATACATCATTGCTGGAGTGAATTTATGCAAGTCTGAAAGTTTCTCATCAAGCAAGCAAACCTTTCGATGTGGAATGTTGCGACATAGAGTCACAAGATATTTCGACAAAAGAGACCATATCATGAACTGTTTTCATTATCATCCTCAAAAAAGGCATCATCTTCAACAAGGTCACCAACTGGGCGAAAACTATTCTTTGGGCCGTTCTTTTGTTTTCGATCTGCTCGGATACTTGGCTCCATTACTTGTCTAGCATCGTTTCTTGAATCCATATGCAACTCTGGTTCAATTGACAGCTCCCCCTTCTCCATACGAAGCCGTATCCAACTACGAATTTCTTCACGAGCCTTGGCGGTGGCCGCCGCGTCCTCCTGGGAGGGGGCAACCGTACCTTTCCTGACCTCCGGTGGGAATAATGATATGTACTTTTGTGATTTGGGATAGTGCTTCATGTATACGCTGTCAGATGATACCCAAGAAAAAAAATGATTGAGAACGCACAAGAGTGTAGTTGAGGTCGACTCGGAGAGCGGATACTTCTGACGCAATAAGTTCCTTCTCCGAACCACTCGCGGATTTTAGGCGTGCTTTCGCTTGCTTCAATTTACGGGTGACTTTCTGTCGCTCTGTCAATTGACCTCAGCGCATTCCGCGGCACATACCAAAAAAGTCAACGCACCAAAAAATTTGACCTTGTGATATCGGACAGCCATTGCCCTTTCCTTATTTGCAATCTCCGCCTGGTGCAGCTCGGCTTCTAAGGCTTTTAGGCGTCGCTCCGTCTCCACTCTGACATCAGCAGCCAGGTTATCCTATAACGGCAGGCAAAGGTAGATGATCAAGCTCGAGAAAGCATAGGTGTAGCACAGGGTTTACCTTGGCGAGCAATCTCCGCGTCTGCCTCAAAGAGGCCTTGAGTTTCTGCACTCCAGGAGCACTGGTTGATTCCTTCTCGTGATGATGACTGTGCTTTCGTGGTTTTTTCGAGGAGGCAGCTTGATTAGAAGTCGAGGCCTCTGGGCTCGACGGCTTGCCGCGCGTCCGTACTGGTGCCATCGGTAACGGGAATGGAGGGGTGAAAGCGAAGGTTACAGCCTTTATTTGGCTCCAACCTCAGTGACTAACAACGCCTTTTGCGATCACGATCATTCACCAAGTTATCGCGTACTAAATGTTTGCAACGAGATCCTGATTTCTTGACTAGGTTATAATGCGCAATCTTACTCTTATTGCCACAGAATCCTCATCCTTTGCCGACCTAAACCTCACGTCGACGGCAATCGATCTCGACGAAAATGTCATTTACGCTGCATCTGAACAACAAACTTTGGATGGGGAGGTTGCAGTGGAACTATGGCGTGTTGCTCAATTAAATAGCGATCATACAGTGCAGTACTTTCTCTCGTTGAGATGTTTGAACTCAACGATTGTTAGATATCTCCGACGGCAGTGACGATGTTCACGAGTGTTCCCTCATCTAATGGGCCAAGTGAGACTCAGATTCTCTCCCTTCGTGTCGTAGCGGAATTGCGGCGTATCGTGTCTATTATGCGAGGCGGGGACGTTGTGGTGGTATCTTTGGAAGAGGAAGATTCACCAGTACTTGGATTTCGTTGGTCAAGTTTCGGAGTCATCTGACTCGTTTTCCAGGCCGAAGTAGAGGGAACCTTTGAGTCGGGAATCTTAGCGGCCGCATGGAACCCAGACGAATCGTTGCTCGCCATTATTACAGGTGGGCAGAAATCTCTTTTTTTTTCACAATCGTTTGCAACTTTTGGTTGAGGACAGGCGAGCAGAAGCTCGTACTCATGACTTCTGCACTCGATGTCCTGTCTGAAACGCCACTACACGCGGACGAGTTTGGAGAAGGTTTGATGAGGTTTTGTTTCCACCTTTACTTTCGAAATAACCCTTGGTATTATCAGACGCACCTATCAACGTTGGGTGGGGATCGAAACAAACCCAATTTCATGGATCTCTTGGAAAAACAGCAGCCCAGGCCCCATCAATAACGAAGGTCGGCTCAAGTCCTGATGACGATAATCAACCACGTATAAGCTGGCGCGGTGATGGCGCATTCTTCGTTGTGTCGTCCCTTTCGCCCGAGGATGCTAATGGTCTGCGCCATCGGACGCTCCGTGTTTATGATAGACAAGCTGCTCTGCAATCAACATCTGAAGCTGTTCCGGGTCTTGAACATCCTTTGGTCTGGAGGCCTTCTGGTAACCTCATCGTTGGAACTCAGAGGTTCGGTTTTGAAGGAGGCGGTGCGGGAAAGGAGGGCAGACACGACGTCGTCTTCTTCGAGAGAAATGGCCTCCGACATGGCGAGTTTAATTTGAGAGTCGAACATCTGGGAGGGAAAGTGGAGGGTGTCGATTCTGGGTACCAAAGGCGCTGGGGATATCAAGTTCGTGAGCTGGATTGGAACGCAGACTCCAATGTTCTCAGTGTCTGGATCGAGGGAGACGATGGCGATATTGGTACGACCTCTTTTCGTAATGTCTGCACATTAATATCTATTTCGATCAGTTCAACTGTGGAGCACGGGAAATTATCACTGGCAAGCCCAGATGTCCATCCGGGATTGATGGTGAGACTGATCAACATTGCAGGTATCTCAAACATGAGATCGCCGCTCCTCTTTCACCTTCGGGACAACCTGGTCGCTTTACATCCGTCTCTTGGCATCCAGAAGTCCCCCTTTATCTATTGCTAACCACTCAGAGTAACATTCGCCCGCTTCTCAAGTTTCTGATTTCAACGCTCATCCCCTTATATAGCGCAACTCATACAACGAAAATACGCATGGGACACATTTGTCTCTAGATCTCAACCTCCAAATGACAGTGGCACAGTTGCGGTTCTCGACGGCTGTAAGTCCAGTTTGACCCCGCCATGCTCTTTGTCGTTAACCTTTGTTTGAGAAGCTACTATCCTACTGACACCATTTCGAGTTCAAAATGTTCCTCCGCCCATGTCTTCATATCAACTCGTGCTCGCTTCTCCACCATCAGCTTCCGATTTCATCAATATGAAGACACCAATACATATTAGTCTCTCATCCCAAGATGACATCCTTGCTGTTCTTTGGGAATCAGGGTACCTGGAGTTGTGGTCTCTAAACACACGTATTGGTTCCAACTCGGGCCCCGTCATGGCTCCCAAGAAAATCCTATCTGGGTATGCACGAAACGACACTACGGTCCAATGGAGACAAATTGCTTTGCAAAACCCCGCTGATACACTCCCAACGATTGTTGTTTTGGGTACCTCATCAATTGGGACTGACGTGATTGCGCGTTTGCACGTCAACGGGAATGATGTGACCAATCTTGATAAAATGGCCTGTCCACGGAATTGTCGACTCTTGAACAATTCCCCAGACATATACCAAACACCGAAGGGAGATCTTATAAAATGTATAGTCATCCCCGTTAAAGTTAGGCTAACTGACCGATCTTTCGTTCCAGATGGCTCCGATTCCCCCTTTACAAGCTTTCCCGAATTTTGTCTGCAGGTCGAGACGGTGATTCTGCCGTCTAAGGAAAAGGATGGTCTGTCAAACAGCGTGTTCATTGGCTTAGGAAAGTCTGGTCAGCTCAACGCGGCAAAAGCCAACTCGGAACCCTCGATCCTATCAGGGAATGTGACTTCTTTCGCTGTCGCTTCAAACTTTGTCATTTACACGACAAACACACACGAAGCAATATTTGTGCCCGTCAAAGAGTTATCGAACTTCAAAGTTGGAGACGCCGCTTCTACGACGACTTTGTCAAGAAAGCTGGAACGTGGATCACGGATTGTCACTGCCGTGCCCAGCTCGATGAGCTTGGTGCTTCAGATGCCGAGAGGAAATCTCGAAACTATCAACCCAAGACCACTGGTCATGGAGGTCGTTAAACAAGATCTTGATGCGTCAGTGATTCTACTTTTCGGTCGATGTGCAGCTAACTGAAGGGACTGTAGTGGCAATTATCGCAAGGCCTTTTTTGCCTGCCGGAAACATCGGATTGAACTCAACGTCCTTGTTGATCACGATCAGGCAACTTTCTTGGAACAGGCGTCCTCGTTCGTCAATCAAATACCCGAGGTAGATCACCTTAATCTGTTCCTAACCTCTATAGGGTGAGTTTAGGGTGTTTGTCTTCTTCAAAGGAACTACTCATATCATGGTTTCTCAGACGCGGTCCGCAATCACAAGATATAATTACAAAAGTCTCAGACGCCATTCGCCTGGAGTTGGAAAAGATAGACCTGGCAAAGTACATCAACACAATATTGACCGCACACGTCGTGAAAACGCCGCCAGATCACGAAGCTGGTCTCTTGCAGCTTTTGCGCCTACGAGGTCTGGGTCTCTTCAAACTACGATTTATATGATCTGACGGCTACTCACCATAATAGAATCTGACCCAAATTTGGTGGAGGAAGCTGTGAAGTACATCATATTCCTCGTTGATGCCGACCGGCTTTTCGACACTGCCCTTGGAATGTATGATTTCTCCCTTGTGCTCATGATCGCCCAACACGCCCAAAAGGTTGCTATTTCGTCCCATCATATCAGAGGTCGATCATTGTTACTAAGATGTGTACCAGGATCCACGAGAGTATCTCCCATTCCTGAGAGAACTCCGGGCGCTCGACAAATATTATCAGAGATTCCGCATCGACGATCATCTTAAGAGGTATCAGAGTGCTTTGCGGAATTTGAGCCTCGCTGGTACGTTCCTGGGTTCGTCCGGGGTTTTATGACTCACGTGTAGCTAGTCCCCGAGCGGTTTGATGAAGCCGTTTCGTACATTGAGCTCCATCGACTCTATGAGCTAGCATTGTCAATATGGAAGAACACCGATCGGTTTGAGGTATGATTCTCCTGTTCTAAATGGGCATCATCATCATGTCAATCTTTTCCAGGCGATTTTGGAGTTGTACGGTGATTGGCTGTTCGAAAGAAGGGAGTTCAAGCAGGCAGCGGAAGGTGATCATCCAAGAGCCTTCAACAGAAATTTGGCTGCTAATTTGCATGTGCAGTTTTCGTGGAGGCCAACAAGATATCGAAGGCTATGGTATCCTACGAGAAGTGCCTTCAGTGGCAAGAACTCTTCAACCTTGCTGTTCTTGAAAACGTTGGAGAGGAAAAGCTTGTCGAGATGGGATACAGAGTTGCTGGTTGGCCTTTTCGGGTTGTAACTTTGAACAGGAGCGTAACTTTCCAACAGAGGATTTGGTTTCCAAGAAGCGCCATTCAGATGCTGGCAGAGTATTGTTGGATTATTCCAAAGATACCCGTGAGGCGGTCATAGCATTCGTCCAAGGCAACATGTTTTCTGAAGCACGGCGCATTGTGAGAGTTTTCGCGTTTCGTCCGACCTGCAACGCTGATGATTCCTCTTACTTTCGTAGGCAACTCTTTCATCCAAAGCTGAGCTCTTGGAGGACGTAATCCATCCAGCAGCCTTCGAAAGCCGTGCACAGCTTTCGGAGGAAGTTGGCGAAATGCAAGCTCAGCTTCGCAAGCAGGTGGATCGTCTTCGAGAGCTACGCATCAAAAAGGAAGAGGAACCCGGTAAATCCATCAAATTTGTTTCATTGAAACGCTGAGACGCTGACGTTGCAACGAAAGATGTGTTTTATGGAACAGAAGATGTGGCTTTGCAAAATATCGACGTGATGACGGATGTTTCGATGCCGGCAACTGCTTTCACTCGTTATACTGTCGCCCCAACAGCAACGTCAAGGTCATCAAAGTGGGTGCAATCATGTTTGGCGGGAGTTTTTCGTGATCCTTTTTATTTTTAGGCGAAGTTCCCGGTCCAAGCGGAAAGCTGAGCGAAAAGTGGGATCTGGACGCAAAGGCACGGTTGACGAGGAGGAATATCTCCTCAAATCCATTGCCAAGCTTGTCGAGAGGTTTACAGCTGCGCAAGGTGGGTAATAATACTCCGGTGACCACGGTCTTACTCATGTTTTGCATTTTTTTATTCATTTCAAGGTGAAGCTCGTAACCTTCTTCCTCATTTATTCCAAATCACGCCGGATCATCGTCGGGAGGGGCAAGAACTCCAAAAGGAGATCAGCGATTTCGAAGCCGAGTTTAGGGTTGCTGTGGAAGACATATGGGCGCGGCCTGTCACTGACGGAGATGCGGAAGTTCCTGCGCCGGATACATGGCTAACGCGGATGGAGGAAGCGGAGAAGAAAAAGCAGATAAATCCAATTGACAAGGTGTCGAAACCGGATTTGAGTCAAGGGAAGGGATGGAGAATGAATTTATTTGATATGGAATGATTCGAAGGAGGCTTGGTGGGCGGTGTGAGTGTGCGGCTTATGATGTAGAGATACATAACGGTGTGTTCACTCATGTATGTATTTCCAATGTATTTCAGATGCTTGCAAAATGCTTGTCTCCTCCGCTGCTCGGTCGAAAGATAACACAGCGGGTCGGGGGTGCAAGCTGTCGTCGAATATTAAGGATGAATTTCACAAGGTTCGGTGAGCGGCGGTAGGGGCGCACTTGGAATATGTTCGGAAGGAGAAAATGTCGTTACGTAGTATAAATTTGGCAGGAATGTGATTGAACTGAGAGTTGGTCACAAAGCCGAGTCCTTTTCTTATTAACGACCAACTGATCTCACTACCGTCTCTTTCTTCCCCCTCACTCAGCCTTCCCACCGCCAATGGCGACCCGGACCCAACAATCAGCGACATCACTATCTCGCTTTGCCAAGCATCCTTTGCCTCCAGACGTAGACATCTACAACGGCAGTCACTCGCGTGAATACTGCAACTCCTTCTGGGGACCCGGAGATGATGGTCCAACTATTCTATTTACGCGTATGCGAGGGGCCTCGAAGACGACGGACGAATTGATCAGCTTTTGGAACGAAAGGTGTGCTCCTTTTGTCCTCCCAAGATGCTATGTATTCTCACCGGATCGACCTATTTTAGGGCTGTTATAGAGGAGGAATACTCTCATCGGCTCGCAAAACTTGCAAAGCTATCAATTGGTTCTGATGAGATTGGGTGAGCTGCGCATGGAATTTCACTTTGAGTGCCTTGCCAACCGCACTATACAGCGAACTGAGAAACTCCCTCGACACCCTCCGCATTGAGACGGAAAGAATGGCTCAAAGCCATCTGGAACTCGCACACAAGATCCGCAGCGATCACGAAGCTCGGACTGCTCAATTTCACGACACGCAGGTGGAACATCGGCGGACACGACAGGCGGCCCTCGAGAAGAAGTTCAAGCAAAAGCAGACGCAAGAGGCGTACGTACAGAAAGCACGCGAGAAATACGAGGCGGATTGTGTACGGATAAATTCATATTCCCAGCAGGCTACCTTCATGACAGGCAAGGATCTCGAACGAATTAATATGAAGCTCACACGGGCTCGACAAACGGTGCAGGCTAACGAGAAGGACTTGGCTAATTTTACCAAAGGATTGTTGGATCTGATACCCGAATGGGAGGGCGAGTGGAAGGCGTTTTGCGATTCGTGCCAGGATTTGGAGGAGGAACGGATAGACATCATGAAAGATGTGATATGGGTGTACGCAAATGATGTCTCCACCATATGTGTTACTGATGATCTGGTGAGATCATCTCACTCTCCACACCGGAACAAGTTACTGATTATTTTCATTAGTCGTGTGAGCGTGTGCGCACTGCGCTCGATCAGCTAGACCCTGAAAAAGACGTTGAGAACTTCGTCCATGAGCATGGAACGGGCAATTCCATACCCCAACCCCCCGCATTTGTCCCGTATGCCGGCCAACAGAACCCAGCGCTTCCCGAAACACAGAGCTTCCGATTAGCAGAGTTCCAACGGATTATAGCACGACCACCGCTCATGTACCCAGGGGACCCACAGGCCGTACCCGCCCCCAGCCGCCAAAACTCCATCGACGACACGCCCGCACCAATTCACCATCCGCCGGCCAATGGTGATAACCATTCTCCTCATTCAATCACACACGACGCCACCAGTCACGCCCCGAACGGTATACAACGTACGCACACGCCCAATCGCTCCCACCAACAGCCACCCCCTCGTACGAATCCACCCACCAACCCCCCTCCACCCCTGCCTGAAGTGCACCAGCAGCCAACGGCTTCTAGCAGCCGTCGATCACCCTCACCACGGCGGCCGAATCGTGTTTCCCAACCCTTGCCTGTCTTGCCAGTTGGGGGAGGCCTCGGGGAAGGTAGAGCGCAAACGCCACCACCACTGCTTCCGACGCAGAGCAGTAAGGTTCTATTTTATGGTAGGTGCAAGTTTTGATTTTAGTGCGACTTTGAGATCTGATGATTTTTTAATGTATAGTAAAAGCGCTTTATGAATACACAGCCACGATTGAAGAAGAGTTTGATTTCCAGGCTGGTGACGTTATTGCGGTGACTGCCACTCCTGATGATGGGTGGTGGAGTGGCGAGTTGTTGGATGAGGCTAGGCGGGTGGAAGGAAGGAATGTCTTCCCTAGCAACTTTGTGTGCTTATTCTAGGGTGAGGTGGAGGTACGTTTTTTTCTTTGTTCGATGCTCCAGACGTTGTGCTCAAGGTCGTTTCAGATATGTTTTTTCGTAGTCCCTTTTTGTTTGTTCGATGCTGCTGGACATTGTACTTTCATTTCCATTCCATCTCCCTCGACAAGGGACCAAATTTGAAAATACCTGGAGGATATAGCTGTTTATGTATAGATACTTAAAGCGCCGATGACGCTGGGAATGGTTAGATGCAAAGGGGGCTTTGTATTTTGAGATGATTGTTACCTTTGTTCGTACCTTGCGTGCTAGCGACCCGGGTACTTTTATTGTGGACACACTCTTCGCTGGTTATGCATCCGACCACTTCTCTTTCTCTTATATTGCTTGGGTATTTGGACTTTTGAGTGCTCATTTTTCTCCTTCACGAGCATGGCGTTCCCGTCTGCAGATGTTGCTAATCGCAGAGTTCGAGAACTGACAGGTCAGACTCGTCCGCGCCGTCCACAGCGCCCACCAACTACCAACGAAAACCTGGGTCCCTTGCCTCATGTTCAACATTTTTCCAACACCCTAGGCGTTCTCAACCCTAACGACGGGCCCATTGGTGTGGACATCTTTGGTTATCCTGTACCGCCTATCGCCACTCAAGCCGACCTCGATTTTTATCTTTTGAATCCCCACCAAGCCCGCCCGTCCGTCGCCACCAGCAGTAGTTGTCTACAGGTTCAAGATTACGAACGGGAGGGCGGTTGGATGGTTGACGCTTTTGGGCGGCAATATTATCAGGCGCGCGGAAAGCTAGAAGAAATAAGCTCGGAGCAAGACGACAACGACGATAATAAAAGCGCAACAACCAACGCGTTTCACGACAAACATCACGAACATCGACGACCACTCACCGCGCTCTCGCCCATGAATACGGGCACTGGTAGCGGAGGATTCAATTTGCGAGAATTTGCCTCGCGTTCTGCGTCACCTTTGCCACCCTCCACCACACCACCCCCTGCTCCTCGGTTTACGGACAGGGAGCAGCTATTGCCGCTTTTCTCGCCGCCGTTTATCTCTGAGTACTATCAGCCTTTTGCTATCATTCCTCCGAGTCGGACGCCGCCACCGTCATTGCCACCGAACACCACGCCTCCGCCACGACCGCTCGAAAGACAGATGAGTGAGCTGTCACCGACGTCAAGCGTGTATCCTCGACATGCTGTCAATGGTTACGCGCCAACGCCGCTGCGGACAATGACACCTGCGCCACCGAAAAACCACGCGATTGCAGGACCACTGGACGCGGAAACGGAAATCGCGCTCGTTCAAGAATGTCTTCGTTTAGTTACGACGACGGTGCAGGACATTCAGTTCATGTACACTGTATGCCATCTGTTGTTTGATTTTTATCGATAGAACCTACTAAGGCTTTTTTTCCATAACAGGTTTTTTTGGCCATCGATTCTGGGGGCGACCTCGCGGAACACAGCGAAATCTGCTTGCGCCTCGAGGAGAGCGTGTCGTCTGTAAGAAGCACCCTCACGCGGCGCAACCAGATTGGCGAAGAGGAATGGAGGGTCCGATCGGCAGCGTGGCATCTCAAATATGGGGATAGGCTTCGTTCGCTTCGGAGGTGGGGGGTTTTTTTTTTCTGTCCTTGAGCTGGGGTTTTGATTTCAAGTTCAAGGACTTTGAAGCGACTTATGGGCATCAAGAAAGCTGTAGAGGCGCGTTCTCAATCTTTACGACCAAAACAACGGATGGTTGTCCTCTTTAAATTACAAGAACACGAGCGCAAGATGGCGGACTTGGCTTCGAAATTTATTGTACGTTCTTCTCTTCTGAACACGCGCCTTTTTGTCTTGTGAGTGACAGACTCTCGGACCTCCATTCTAGGCGTCCTTTGATAGGCTACGACTTCGACACCTCCACTACCTCCTAACCGAAGCCCACAAGCAATCATACGCCCTCCAGAAACAAAAACAAGACCAGGCCCGGCTATCATTATCCAACAAGAGGTCATTTGAGCGACGGTGGAAGGAAGGCAAGGCCATGCGCGCGGACTTGCGACGCGAGTTTTATTCGTTTCGTCCAACACGGCCACCACAATCGGAAACGTCAACGTCAACGGCATCATGATAAACAATGAATGATAGACTAATTTATAACGATGTATCTCGCCCAACACACTCTTGACGACTATGCGACGAGGTCTAGCGTTTTTATCCTAACTTAGAATCCACACTCACTAGTTGCTTGTACATCGTCGTTTTTTTGCTTTGCACGCTGTGTCACGTATTTAACGAATTTACGGTTTCTGCTTGTTTTGTTTGGCATTCATTGTTCACAACTTGAAGTCCTACTACACAACCTTGACACTACCTTTCACGCAAAATGTCCACAGCTCACAGACCGACATGGGATCCAGCTCAAGCAAAGGATGTCAAGGGCGGCTCGCGCCAGTTCTCAGTACGGGATATGGCTGCACACACTAAACTTAAATTCCGGTTCGTCTAGTCTTCCATGCTAATAATATAATAAACACCCTGTCCAACAACGTGTTTCTACCACCAGCCAAGTAGGACAAACGTCTGCGGGCGAAGTGAAGACTCGGGATTTACGAGCCGAGCTTCTGGCAGCTGAGCATGAGGCGAAGAACAAGAAACGCAAGGCGGAGGGAAAGCCGCCGTTGGCTGTAGAGGATTCAGCGGCACCTGTTGTTGACGAAGAGGCGAATAAGAGGAGGAAGTTGCTTCAGGAGGCGTTGGAATTGGATAAGGATGATGATGATGAGAAGGACGGCGAGGACTCGAAGATGAAAGACGAGGATGATGAAAGGTGTGTGATATCATTAAACCATCCGCTGAACGAACTAAACCTTCGTTGCGTGCATTTAGCGAAGAAGACTCTGACGACGAGGAAGACGATACAGCTGAACTTCTGCGCGAACTCGAAAAGATCAAACGAGAAAGGGAAGAAGAGAGACTTCGCTTGGAGAATGAACAGAATGCGTCAGACGCAGCGAAGAGGGAGGCGGACATCGCCACTTCGAATCCACTGTTGAACTTGGCCGCGGCGCTGGGCCAGGAAACGCCACGGGGGGTGAATACGACGGTTCCGGGGACTTTCCAGGTTAAGCGGCGGTGGGACGATGGTGCGTTCTTGTTTCTCTCGATATGTGTGTTGCTGAGGGAATGAAATTGGGGTAGACCTGATTTTCAAGAACCAGGCGATGACGCCAAAGGATAAGGGCCAAGGCCACTTTGTCAATGATTTGCTAAGGACAGAGTTCCACAAGTCCGTTTCTACTGTTTTCTTTGTTTTTTGTTCGTTCTGACCAGTTACGAACAGAAAATTCATGGCCAAATTTATCAAGGTATTCCTCACAAGGATCTTAATCCACTGGACAACTAATAACAACTTTCACAACAGTAACTATACCTGGTGTATCATAATTCTATCACAGCCATGTATTTTGCACATAATACCCTCACGATGAAGTCATGCTTTCTATTCAATAACTAACTCTGATCCCAAACCCATCCCTCCGCAGCCCACTCTGGCATATCCGTCTCAAAAGCCCCAAAACTCGTGGTATACTTCCGCGCATGCAAAAAGATGTACAGCTTCTCTGGCTTGGGGTCAGGGTGTAAAGGCAAATAACATTCTGGACAATAGAGGTTGTCGGATTGGATCACGGTGTTGACGTCCTGAGCAGGCTCCATTGAGGATATTTTTGAAAGAACTTCGTCTGTTGTCAGTTGGGAGGGCGAGTCTGTGGATGATTCGCCTTCGCCTAAAGACTGCGTAATTGTTTCGCCTTGTGACTGTGTCGATTCGCCTTGTGGCTGAACCGAGGACGACGAGGTTTCCTTCCCTTCGCCTTCCCCTCCTCCTTCCTTTAACGCAGCAGCAGCTGGAGTTTCTCTAACCATCAACTCCCCATTCCCACCCCTCTTCCTCCTATTCTGCGGCGGAGGCGGCTTAATAACCAAGTTATGAGGGCCCAAAGCCCCCTTGGCTCTAAACACGACATCCCGCCATCGACTCCAGTCTTCATCTTCGTCCTTTACATTTTTTTCGTCAGTTAATACATTTTTTTCTGTTGTTTTTAAGACGACAGACCTTCATATTCCTCAACCTCGTAATAACACCCACCGCCTCGCTCGAGAGCGGTACCGGTGATCCCATACCAATATCCTCACCCGTCTCTCGCGGGAGAAGCTTATTGTTCGTCTTACCGTCTTTCTCTGTACGTAAAGACTCTGGACTCCCACCCATCTTCGTCAGCTCCTCTAAATGAGGAGGCGGCGCCGGGGCAGAGCGCTCGTCGCTTGGTACGGTGTCCACGCCGCCTTTACCGATTTTTTCACCCCATATACGGGATTCAGAGTAGATGGGGTCGTTGGCTATGGGGAAGCCGAGATATTGGAGGTGGACACGGAGTTGATGGGCTATATGGCAAGGTGAGGATGACTTGGGGTCAATAAGGAAGGAAGGCGGGAAAGCGTACATCGTCCTGTTAAAGGTTCGCCTAGACGGGGAGTTAATACACATTTTTTTGAGAGGTGCAAAGCTTACGTACATCTGACGACGCTGCTATTCGTGTTTTCGTCGTATCTTATTAGATTGAACACCGTTTTTGCAGGCTGTAGGTGGATGAATACTGAATAAATGCAAAAGCCATGTCTACGCACCTTTCCTTCCGGATGAACGATATTCAGCCCCATTTGCCGATCAACAGTCAAAAGTGGCTCTTCGCATACGATTTCTTGCCTATTGAGTCACAATTGAGCGAGTGTAATGTGGGTGAAGAATACACATACGCAGGAAACCGGCCCCTCACGCGCGCAACGTACTCCTTGCGTACCGTCCCAGTCGTGAATTCATCAGTGAGTACGCGTGCCCTGTCAGGGGATAGGGGGATGATCATCAGGCCGGAGGTTAGCCTATCCAGTCGATTCGCCGCTAACTTTTTGGTTAGCTTTGTAACTTAAGGTTGAAGGGGGAGGCATACGATAACATTTCTTGTACCCAAAATCGTTCACTAGTATCTCAATAAGAGTGTTGCGGTAGTATCGACCAGACGCGTGAACAGGCTGTCAGGGAGTTTCAAAAAAGATAGATTAGGGAATGGTAGAGAAGGGAGTTATGAAGACGAAACGAACGAACGATGCTGCCCGGTTTATCAACCACTAAAAATTCGCGCTCCACGTCGTGGTAGAGAACCTTGACGGGTGTGGAGGTTACTGGTGGTTCGTGTCTGTGTACTATGTTTCTATTTCGGAGTGGTTTGAAATTTATGAAAGAGGAGGAGATGGGAAGAGACGTACTCGATGCGATCTCCGTCCCGCAATTTCGTATCGGGTTTCGCGATTTGGCCGTTAACGGTTGTGACACCCGATTCGAGTGCGTATCTCTATGAAAAAAAAAATGAGTTCGATTTTGACATGGTAATAGGAAACGCACGTAATACTCCATAGACCGATCCCGAAATTCAGTCGATACAACCTCGAGCAACTCCCTCCCAATCCAGCGCATCTTCGTCATGGTCGTATACGGGTACCAATACGGCGCGATCTTTTTGAGCCCTGGGGGTTGTGGGATGGGAGATGAGTCGGTGGTAGGCATGAGACTCGATCGAACGAGGTTGATGATATTTTGACGAAACTGGTCTTGTGGCGAGAATGGGGAGATTTGAAAGTGAAATTTCGATGATCGTTTGACTTGGCTGAGAAGGGTTGTACCGTTGGACATCCAACTGCAGGAAAAGAGAACTTCAAGAGAAGGAGTTGTTGTGCCAGGTTTGGCAAGAGCATCATCAACTTGACTCTTGCCGTTGAACTTCAATGTCCTCCTCCTCAACGACTACGAACCGCCATGCCCTCACGGCCGTCGAGAAACAACGTTATCAGCTTGAAAAACTACTCAAAGACCCCGCAAAGCCCGCTTATGTCCCACCACCACCAAAAGATAAGACACTCCGACCCGCACGCGAAATGATGAAGAACGTTCAGGGATCCAGCGCTGGTGCTGGGAGTGGTGAGTTCCATGTGTACAAAGCAAGCAGGCGGAGGGAGTACGAGAGGTTGAAGATGTTGGAGGAAGAGTCGTTGAAGGTGTGTGTTTGCTTGTTGGATTCGTTGCATTTAAACTGATAAGTGGGTAGGAAACGGTAGAAGCAGAGTTTGAGAGAAAGAAACGGGAAGCGGAGGGAATTTCGAATGCGAAAACAGCCAAGAATCGCGCGAAGAGGCAGAAGAAGAAGGAGAGGTCAAAGACCAAGAGTGATGGTAATACCAAAGAAGGAGATGAGAGCAGGCCTGACGCACCAATAAAGAAGAGACGGTTAGTGAACGGGAAAGAGCTGGTTTTCAAACGACCTGGAGAGGAAAGTGACGACGACAATGACGAGCAGCAACCAGGCCCGTCGTCTGCTCCTCCGCGTTCACCTAGCCCCGCTCCCCCAGTAGCAATGGCGGAGACGACAAAGATCACGATTCATGAAATGTAATTATATCACATGACCTATACTTTTTTTGCAATGGACCAAGTCGATGCTGCGACAGTGCTGGGTGAGCACCTCATCAACGCTATCCTCGAAAATGCATCTGTAGAGACTGTCAAGGATATCTTGAAATCGGGGGCACCGGTGTGGTACCAGAACGAGGAAGAGGGCGTGTCGCCTTTGCATGCTGCTGCGTATGTTCAGAACGAAGAGTTGGTTGCGATCTTGATTGAGAGAGGCGCTGTATGGAATGCAGGTACGTCTATTCCATCTTGCAAGTCTATACGAACAGATCATATAACATATCGTCAGTTGACAATTTCAAAAACACCGCAGGCGATATTGCCTTGTCATTTAACAACGCAGGGGTATACACCCGCATCCGCGACGCGGGCATTCGCGCAGGTACATAATCCAATCCAGTTTCCTTCTATTCTTTTCGTTCTCTGACTTGTGCCAGGCAGAAATGCTTCTTGGGATTCTAAACACCCGTTCAGATTCAGACGAATCGATGGACGCTGAAGACGGCGCTCTCATCCTGCGCGAAAAGGATACAACAGCTACAGGGTCTAACACCGTGTTCCTAGAATCAAAGCTCCGATATACAGTCGACGAGCACGGGCAGGAGATATGTATGCTCAAAGTTGGGGGAGAGGAGGTGGGTGTGATGATGGGGTGGGAGAAAGATATCATGCAGGAGACCGTGAAGAAGCTTTGTGATGATCATCCCAACAACGAGAGATTGAAGGTCCTCAATGTTGGATTTGGGCTTGGGATCGTGCGTCTTCCACTGATCCCAAATGATCGCCCTACCAACGCTCTCATAGATCGATACCCTCTTCCAATCCCTACCACACCCGCCAACCCAACACATCATAATTGAACCACACCCGGACGTCCTGCAGCATATGCGCGATTTGGGGTGGTACGACAAACTTGGCGTGCAGATCCTCGAAGGAAAGTGGCAGGACTTTATCAACGCGGATGGGAACGAGTCAGTCCTTCTTGATGGGGGCGGGTTTGATGTCATTTACACAGACACGTTCTCGGAGGATTATAGCGACCTTCATCGGTTCTTTGAGCATCTACCTGATTTGCTGGCTGGCCCTGAGTCGAGGTTTAGTTTTTTCAATGGTCTTGGTGCGACTAGTAAGTGCATTCCCCTTCATTACTTTTTCTTCCCTCTGACAAATATATTGCAAGATGCACTTTTCTACGACGTGTACACCCACATAGCAGAATTACACCTCGCAGAAGTAGGATTCGACGTTGAATGGAGTGATGTGGATGTCACCTCTACATTTGAGGAAGATCGGTGGGGGAAGAGCAGGGAATACTTTACGCTGCCGTTTTATAGATTACCGATAGCGAAGATGGGGATCATGATATAGACGTAGCAACAACGTAGATGTAGATGGGATGTCTTTTTGTAACTTTTGTAACCTTATCTTTGTTCCATGACGATAAACAGTTTATACATATACGACAGGCGCGTCCCCCGTCAACTCCCACTCACCCACACCATGACACCACCAACAGACACTGTACCTGCGTATACTACCAGGACTGGCACCGCACACGCCGCCCAAAGCCCGCAGTCGAAGGCGGCATCCTCCCCGCCGTATCCCAAGCCATCTCGCCTCAACCCACGCTTGATCCAACCACCACCACCACTTCCTCCTCGAATTTCAGCAGTCCCCGAAACACGCTCTCATCAAGCACAGGCGTCGTCGTAGCCACCAACTCGAACCCAAACGAGCCACCGACGCCGCTACTAGCGACGAACCCACCTGGGACGTCCAGCACGGGACTGGCGTTTGACGAGGAGGCCAAGCTGGTTTATGGGGTCGTCATTTCGCTGAGGAACATGATCAAGAAACTTTCTGGGAGGTTTGCCTTTTTCTTTTCTTATCTTCTTTCCTTCCACATTCTCATCAACCTCAAATTACGACGCAGAGACGAACAATTCGTAAACTACCGAACATCAGCGTACAAACTGCACCTCTACGAAACCCCCACAGGCTACAAATTCGTCATGCTCAGCGACGCAAAAACCGATTCGCTACGGTTCGTCCTGCGCCAGATATATGTCGGCCCGTTCCTGGAGTACGTCGTTCGAAACCCCCTGGTGAAGATGGATGACAGGGAACATGGCATTGATAATGAGTATTTTCGCGCAAGCGTTGATAGGCTTGTTAGAGGCTTGTCCGTGTTTTCCCAATGAGAGGGTTGCGTCCCATCTATACCAGTTTTTTTATGCTGCTCGAAAGTTCAATCATTGTTATATGTATAGGGTAAGTGTCGAGGAGGAAAAAGGTATGCTCCATCCACCCGTGTATCGCATCTACGTCCCTCCAACCGATGTTCCATTTCCACCATCCTCCTGCTGCTTTTCAAATTGCCGCCTCAGCACATTCATCAATGAAGTTTTCATGGCCTTCTCAGGGGCACTTTCGTCATTATCTTCACCGTTATCCCCCGCAACGGCTTCGTCCAGTGCCAGCTTAGTCTGGCCGAGCTTTAGCATGTCCTCCTCAATAGTGCCTCGTGAAATGAGCTTGACGACGTCTACGTCCCGCTTTTGACCTATCCGGTATGCGCGATCTTGGGCTTGACGGTCGTTGTGGGGGTTGAAATCCTGGTCGAACCTTTGGGGACAAAAAGTTGGTGAGAATTCATTCCGAGTTGTACTTTGCTTACATGACTACAACAGATGCAGCAGTCAAATTTATCCCCATCCCTGAACACAAATTAGGGACCGTAAACGACAATGACAAAGTGAAGCTTACCCCCAGCTTTAGTCGACAGTAGGAAGACAGGAATGGTCTCGTCCTCCGTAAACTCATCCACCAGCGTTTGTCGAACATCAACAGGCGTACTACCTGTGAGAATGAGGTACTTGATCTTGTTGTTGTTCAACACTGCTTGAAGGATGTCCAGGATTTGAGTGAACTGTACCAGAAAGGAAAAAGTGAGCTTGAGCCGTAAATGATGGGTTGATGAGAAATCACCTGAGAGAATATTAGAACCTTCCTACCCTCCCTATCGTACGTAGACAGAAGCTTGAGGAGTGTTTGGACCTTCCCCGCATCGAGATAACAATTCTCGTCCTGTAGGTACTTTCGCGTAGACTTGGTGCAACAGGTCAATCAAAGAGCAACCGTAATGGTTTTAAAAGCCTTCCTCACCTTGTACGACGCGCAAAAGATCTGAAGCTCAGCATCCGTCATAACCGACATGTCTTCCTTCACCAAATCAAACAACGCTCCACGCTTCTTAAAATCCGGCTCTTTGAGGAGCTGGCGAGTTATACCGCTCAACACATCGTCGGTAAACCGCGTGCGGAACAACATAGGGTGCGAAGCTGCCTTGCGCAGATCCATCAGAACATTCGAGCTGTTCTCGAGATAGACTTTATCTTTCGGCCGTGCACTTGCTTTAGGTTTCTTCTTGACAGTCTTACCGCGCCCGTTCGTGGCTAACGTGTCTTCAGGCGTACCGGTGTCAGCAGGTGTGGGTGCGTCGAGGAGTGTCTTTCGCGACCGTTGAAGTGCGTCCGTATAGATGGACCTCTGAAGTTCCGTCATGTCGCACCATTCAATTCTTTCCGTCTTGTTAGGAAGGTCTTTCAGCACCTGATCCTTGCGCCGCCGGAGAACAAAAGGTGTCATCATTTTCTTGGCCCGCGAGATTCGCTCTTGCGAAAGCAAAGAAACCGTTGAGTCTCCTTTGACCTTGAAAATGGCCCTGAGATCGCCCAATGCAGTAGCGAATTGATCAGGCAGGATGAAATTCATCAGCGACTATAAACAGAACCCAAGCTTAAGAGAGATTTCAAAGAACAAGTAGAAGCATGACGTACAACAAGTTCTTGCAGGTTGTTCTGCAAAGGTGTTCCCGTGAGGAGAAGTCTCCAATTGGATCCAAACTTCAATAATGACTGATATCGTTGCGACTGAAAGTTTTTCAAAACATGACCTTCATCATAGATGCAGCACTGATTTCCGGTTAGTTTTCCATCCTAACCAAGACAGTTCAAGTGACAAACATTCCAATCTATCCTGCGGAAGAATTTCCGGTCGCGATCGTCCCCTTGGGCCAAGTTGTAAGTTGTAATGAGAACTTCCCAGCCCACTCCGTTCTTGCTGTTACACCGCTGGGTATCCGTCAATGTCTGGCGGAGCATGGATCGCTCTTCTTTCCCAGCATAATAGGTTTGAACAGATATTGATGGGGCAAATCGGGCAAACTCTCGACACCAGTTCTCCAGAGTTGATGAACTAGAGGGCAATGTTCATAACCAAGAAACCCTGAGAGGATATGTATACACGTACGGTACCACTATGAGATGAGGCCCTTTATTCCCTTGTTCCTTCATGGACGCAAGGAAACTGATGACTTGGATAGTTTTTCCAAGACCTGATCGTAACAGTCAGCTTAGCCTTCAGATTGAACATCCAATTTGCATACCCATCTCGTCTGCCAGAATGCAGCTGAGTTTACGGCGGTAAAGCAAATTGAGCCAATTCACGCCTAGCAGTTGGTATTCCTTCAACTGCACATCATCAGGCAACAGAGATGGCTGTGAAGTAAGATAATCCTTGGTTTTTTGTTGTTTTAATTTCGCCAGGGAAACGAGGCTCAAAGCCCCATCGGTTTCCCCATTTTCAGAAGAGTCTGCCTTGTCTTTCCCTTTCCCTGATGTCGTCCATGTGGCGATGGCAGCTCTAAGACCAGCACCTATCCGTTCGCAATCCTCGAGGACAGCATCGACTTGCCCATAGCCTTTCAATATTGTTTTGCAATCCTCGAATAGTTTAGGACTAAGACCACCTGGACCAGCCTTCTTCTTCCCCTGTCCAAGCTTAGTGTTGAGATCGTCAATCGATTCGAAAGGGCGCAGATCAACGATAGCCTCTGCCTGATCAGGAGTGCATCCTGTTCGAGAGTATTTAGACGAAGATTTGGAAAAGGGAGACATAACCCACCGGTTAGTTCTTGAAGAGCAGCTTTCTCAGCTGTGTTGAAATACTCGAACGCTCGCATTTCTTCGTAAGGGATGGCATCTGTACGCCCTCTTTTTGACTCTCTTTCGTCATCCTCACTACTGTCAGCGGTATCTGAACCGATAACTAGCTTCTTGACGCGTTTCCGTCTTGGTTCCCTTACCGGAATAGGCGTTAAAGGGGAGGTTGGCGACATGGTGAGATCTAGGACAGCCTTTGAAGTTGTCGGGGTCGACGAAGACTGGATCTGAGTTTCGAGGGTGGAGCGGTTGGCGTATATCATTGACTTCTTGCCCTTCTCCTTCGCAGCCACTCTCAGTGCTTTGTTCGCCTCATCTAGCTCCTTCACCCTTCCCACAACTTCCTTTTCGGTTACGAGTGAAGGGGCTGGCGTAGGTCGCCAGTTAGGGTCTGATACCAACGCCCCGGCCTTTACCACGTCCTCGCCAGCTTGTCTCCAAGCAGCCTCAACCCGAGCTGGAGAGTAACCTGGCATACTAAGTTTAAACATATTAAACCGTCGTTCAGCCTCGGGGTCTACTGGGGGTTTAGGGCTGGGGCTTGGGCGACCCCTGACGATGCGCGATTTCGAAGAGCTAGCGAGCATATCACCAGGTTCTGGCAACGAGTCATCGGATGAGAAAGAACCGATGTCCATACTAGAATTAACGGGTCGCCGTTTCTGTCCGGCGCGACGAATCTCAGGGGAAGGCGGGGAGTCAGGGGTACTCAACGCGTCTTGGGAGGGTCCAAGATTCGGTCGCTTGCGAGGGGGACCTTCTTCCTGCATGTGAGATCCAAAAGAGTCGTTCCCGTTCCATTGCCGACGTAAAGACGCGTGAGAAGTACCTTTACTTGATGTAAATCCTGTCGGCGCGTTTAATGGATCGGAGGTGAACGCTGCGAGAGGTTGGCTCCACCCGGTCAGATACGGTTGTGTAGAGATGGCTGCCACGTCATGATGCTGAACGTGGCCATATGGCCGGTAGGGGCGAGGTGGTTCTTCATGTTGAAGCGGACTTGAGTTTGGCACAAGAATGGTACCTTGTGAGGAGGGTGTGGAGGGAAAGAATCTTGAAGAAATGGTGGCATCTCGAGATTGTGAGGGCGGCGTGGGATAGGATGGTTGAACCGAGCCATCCAAGAGCGTCGTCGACGATGAGGAGGCTGTCTGATTATTTGCGCGACGGTGCTTGCTGAATCTCAATTGGTCAAGGGCAACTTGTCGCTGAAATCGTTTGAAAAAGGTTAGTCAATGGGCGGCCGATTTTTTTTTATTGCTACTGACTTTGGCGTGCTGGTCCTCCATACCTGGAAGCATCTCAAAGATAGAAAGCGAATACACAATATAGGCGTTCGCTTTCAAGTGGATGGACGTCGTGCGGGGTATGTATGGGTGACTTGGAATCAACGGCGACGTGTGGGTACAGCTCAATTGCTTCTTACGTCGGAGAGTCAAAACAGTGTGGCACAAGAAAATTCTATTGTATTCACCAATGGTCTATATACAAGGTAAAGGAGGGAAGAATACGGGGAGAGGGGAGTACGACAAAACGCATCCATAACGCGGAAGCAGCAGAGCTGGAGGAGCAGTTGAACTCGTCGGTTGATGGATAAGGCATAGCGCATGGGCTTCGTATACACTGAAAGGCAGTGTAAAGAGGTGAAAAAGCGGGCCATGCCACTTTACAATCCCAGAACGTGTATCATATTATAACACAATTTCCGGTGTTGAAAAGGACATGCCAAAGAAGCATGAGAGCAAAGACGTGCTTCTCCATGTTGGCGCAGGATAGGCTTGAAGGCGCCCAGCAAAAGCTGCAGTGAGACCTAGTGGAGAACGGGGAAGCGCGAATCCAAAAAGTCCAGGGTATCGAAAAAAGCATCAAGAAATGCAAATGAAGTCAATGAGCGTTCGCAGCTTGTGCGTCGTTTTGTGAAAGAAATGCTTACTACAAAAACAGAGAATTCGCCGTCACAAGGACGCACGTCGACGCTGCGAAGCGCAGCGATCAGCGTCAAGTATATCAATTAGCCCAAACCAACATTGTAAGTGCTGCTCACGTCGACGAGCTTTCTGGCATTGAGCCAAAACCAACATGAACCAAACTCCAACTACAACACAAAAAATTCAATATACCAGCCGCATTCCAGTACCAGACAAGGGAATAAACGCCCACAGTACACCACGACAACGATTGTCGAAGGATCAGAAAGATAAACAGTTTGAGGCTCAAAGACCCGGGCACGATAGAGGTGGGGCCTCTCACGCCGTCGTGGGCAACGACTTGCGTGACACTGGTGGACAAAAAATGTGCAATAAAGTGGGGAGTACTTACTGGCTAGTCATGCACTTGAGTTGGAAGTGTAACCAGAAGTTATCGTGGAGTGTTTCTTAAGCTGACTAAATCAGCTGAACAAAGCCCAAGAACGCAGAGTGCACTGTTTACACAGAACTCCACCAAGCGGAGTCGATGCGTTCAGAGGTTCGAACGTCGGACAACCCTGTCGCAGGCCGAGCCAGCGTGAGTAAATGCTGCACTTTGTGCAAGAAAACCCAATGCCAAAAATGAGAACCTTGAGTCTCCAGCGTGAGACTTGGGTTGCCGAACATCTCCATCGAAAAGGAGCATAGGTGCTGTGAGAAGAGATGGGTGGCAACTGCCCAGTGAAACCTGGTCATAAGTCAGATAAGAATTAGATTATGTGGGCAGTTTGAAAGAATCGATAAGATCGATAAGACGTTACTTGGAACAACCCCAGCCATTTCAGATTGCAACCACCTGTTGAGCATGATCCAGCATTGTGATGGTAAAAGGACAAGAGTGAGGCAGTGACGAGTCACCAATACGTCCACCACGTGACTATCAGTGCACGGACCTGTTACGGTGTCACCGGATTCACTGCGCAGCCCCTACGCGCCTCTTCATTGTCCACATCGTTTTTCACCATAATGCTGGGCGTTTTTGACTTCCTAATCCTTTCATTCTCGTTAGCCCTTACCCTAACGGTTATCGTACCCTTTACTGGTGTACTGGTGAGGTTTCGGGCGAATTACAACCCAAAGAGTCTTCATTTAGACACCGAGGGCGGGGTAGTACCACATACGGGCCCCGTGGTCACATCATATATCGCAATGTTTGGAAGGGTTTACAGAATAGAGGTGTGTAAATTTCGGTTCCAGCTTCTAACGCGTATTCAATAAATATCCAAAATTAGGGCTGGTCAGGACTTTACAAGGGGCTGAGTACGTTGGCAGCAACTCCTACATCCTGGATGATGATCAAACGTTTCCACAGTGCCAACTGCGCTCAGCACCCTAGCTGTGACTGTTTTCATTCTCCTAGCCGTTGACACGGATAAACCACGACATGGCAAATATCGTGCACCCGAAACCGGCGTCTTGGTAATTACATCAGTTTTGCATTGCAAACGCTCTTATCAACCTATTCGACATAGGGAACTCTCTTGTACAGTATCACGATGCTCTTGGTTTCTTTACCCACCGCCATCTTAACCTACCGGTACGTTATTTGGCGCCCTCATCACTCAGTTATCACTCAGGCTGCTTTAGTTCCATTACGACACCTCACAAACTGTCTTACTTGGGGTTGATGCCTTCTTTGCGCATTCTTCTTACACCTACCGAACGTCGCCGCCCATGGATACTCTATCTGACACCGGGTCTCATGGCCGCTGAGCTGCTGCACATTTCCCTCGTTGTGTTAGGACTTGGTCCGCTCCGCCGTCTAATGCTTCCAAACCTCTCCAAACCAGATCTGACGTGGGCAGATATATCCATTCCGAAGATGGTTATCTACCTTGTGATCGTCGCTCTCAGCACTGCGGCACTCAGCCCGCTGGAGGTAATTGCAACGAGGCTTGCCATTCAGAGAAACCACGCGTCTTCCGAATACAACTCCGTTTCTCAGGAAGTAGAAGGCGATAACGATGAATCTGCTGAATTTTCTGGTGCAGACGAGGATGTCATTGGGTCAGTAAACACCGATCTCACCTGTCTCCTCAAAATGCTAATGCTATCACAGGCTACGACACGAGGCAGATCCTTATCTTGGTTTAGTGGATTGCGCGAAACGAATCATCGATGAAGAGGGTGTGATGACGCTCTACCGGGCTTGGTGGCTTACTTTGTTTGGAGGATTAGCCAGCGCGTTCGCATAAAACACATCTTTATCACCAGATCTTATCTAGGCTGCCGCAGGCAGATGTATGTATAAGCACTGTAATACTTGTTATCATCTGGAATAGGCTCACGGACCAGCAAATGCTACACATTCTCATCAGGGTCCAGATGACTGGAAAACACAAAACGGTTACCACGATGCATCGATGCTGAGAAGTTCGTGAGGCCAAATGTTATCAAACAGAAGTAGACATCTCGCTAGATTAGATGTAACTTTCCGGTGCGCGGTCCCACTTCGATCTTTATAGACTTCTCCGTTGTTGACGATGATCTGCTCTGTTCCCCATGTGGGGTTACAATGACGAAATATTTCAGGCTATGCATTGGATTGCTTTTCTGGTCTACCACATCCGAGGTATAACCTTCGTATGACAGGACCGCTATCCAACGTGTCCATCAAGAGACATAAACGGCCCAAGGTACCACAAACTAGACCTTCAGCATTGTCATGGCGTCTGCCAATGGTAAAGCCAATAGAGCTCAATGACAAAAGAGTTCAAGTCTATTCACTGACCATCATTGACACTTAACCCTGCGCATTGATGTAGGTTCCGCCGGCGAGCGCAAGTTAACCGCGGCACAGGGCGCTGACTGCCGTAGGCAACTTTGACACTAGAATCAAACGTTGGCCATTCAGTTCAGGATAGAAAATAGTAGGTTGCACAAGCCTGAGACGCCTGTTATTTCGACGGTGAAGCTCCTAATCCCCGAGAGGTGACACCGCGGTGTCGGAACGTGAATGGCAATGATAACGCATGAGCTGACCCTTGATTAAAATTCTCCGTCAAAGATGGAGAATAAAAAACACTCTTTTATATTGGGAGAAACGTTTCCGAGGTGAGGGAGAGGACAACAACGGCAAGGCTCGGTGACGCCACCGTCGGCTTCCACCAGGCTCGGGCTGAGAAAGTCAAGACGCGACAGAAGCGATGAGGGGACAGACGTGTACTCAATATCGCTAAATGTCGTCCAGTTTACGGGGGAGCAAGTTGAGATGATATGCATCCGTTTAATAACCACAATCCCGCAATTGACGGAGGGTCAACTACGGAAGGAAGTGAAAAGTCTTAATCCCTCCAGATAGAGTGTAGACCTATGTGCTTGGCCTAGATAGATACGCATTATCGAGCCGCTCTCGATGTGATAACGGCATGCAGCGAACTTGACGGAGACATTCAGGTAAGCAACTGCAAGTGATGAAACGGGGTTATCGACCGTTTTACTCCTTCTGCCGTCGGCACTTTGGGAGGGATCCGACGTCATCCAGATTCCAGGTGCGTTTAATAAACCTCGTTTGTTTGAAGAGGCCCAAACAACAAAAACTCACCCCTGGCATGGGAGAACCCGATCAACGGTAGCTGCAGCCTGGTATGCAAGGGGCGGATGGTCAACAAACCAAGCCGTTTAACATTAGACGTTTGAAGAGAAAGTTCTGTAGAAAATTGCACATCATTCATAGCTTGATACAAGTTACCGTCAGAACTGGTAGTAAAGCGTTCCAGTTAGGGGGGGTAGACTAGCAACCAATAGAACGCAGCGAAGTCAAGAATGCGAGGTCAGATGAGCATGAGCCTTGTAGGAGTTTCAAGAAGGTGACGAGATGGAACTCGAAATCGGGAAAAGGACAAGGACGTTATTCCCACGCACTTTACTGATATCTCTCCCGTCGACCCAAGATCTAGTGTCCAATGGACTGATTCAGCGAGCGCTTCAAAAGTCCTTCTACAAGGCGATCTGATGTTCTCCTCCGACACCTGAGAATTCTTTCTCCATAATCAGGTTGCGTGAACGTTCGATACCGAACTTCACACGTATGTTCTATTCACATCACTGCTTGAAGCGGGCCTGGCGAGCCCGAGCGTCATTAGACGTTGAAGGCGTAATTCCCAGCGATTCCCTGGCTAAGTCTATCCTGATTCCCCGCATTGGGTAGTCCTATTATCGCGTTTGAACCCCGACACAGTCGAAGTATAAAACCCCTCCTCGACTTCTCAGAAGTTGCCAGGACTAGCTTTTCGATAACCGGTAGCGATTCTACAGCTCGAACAGCGCTTCTTCGGACCCGGCTTGTCTTCTACCTTGATCTATCTCACCAACACCAAGTTCAAGCATGTCTTCCGATACGTCGTCTCGTAAAAAGAGGACAACCTCTGAGGTCTCTACGCCTGCTCCCTCTGGCGACCATCGCAAGAGGTTTGTTTTATTTTCCTCCTGTATCACCTTCAGCGATCTCACAAGCCCTTCAAGGCGCCGTAATAGGACGACCCAATCCTGCCTCAACTGTCACACATCTAAGCGGATGGTAAATTGTTTCTATCTCTACGGGGTAACTCACTGACATTTCCTTCACAGTGCGACCGAAAGCGACCAGCTTGCGCTCGCTGCACACAACTTGGCTTGGTACAATATTCATCGCCTATGAAAAGGCCCCTGACTAATAGGCGCCCTCTAGACTGGCCTTTGTGTGTACGAAGTTGACGATCCTAATCAGAGATCTGACGCTCAAGATGAGAGTTCAAGGCTACTCAAGCGCGTTGCTGAATTAGAGGGCGTGATTCGCGAGGTAAAACTTTATATCCCGCCTTTTAGTTCCTCTGTTTGACAACGATGATCATAGCTGAAAAACAAACCTCATCCACGATGGGTACAGTCGAACAATATCCCTGCAGATGATTACGACAAGTGGCACTCTCGAGTGCAGTCGCCCCCCATTGTACCGTCACCCCCAAGTTCGGCGTCTTCGTCGGAAAAAGCTGATTCACCCCCCCTTAATGCACGCCCCTTGCGCTCCCCAGCTGTTGTCAAAGCAAATGTTTACCCGTCAATCCCCCACATCGACGAATCCCAGCAACAACCATCGTACCGCTCATCGCCACAGAGCATTCCTTCTCCGTCTCTCATGACGCCAACGGAAGAATTTTCCCAACCCCACGTGGGGGTTGTGGGGCACCCAGACGGTCAACACGACTATGATATTAGTACGATGTTTCTTCCATACCCAGGTCTTATGGGGTGCGAGGATTCGTACATGTCAAGACACGATTCAGTGGACGATCCTGCATTCCACAAACACCGCGGCGGACATTGCGATTGTTTGCATGAGCCATCCAACTATAACGTCGTGCTGGAGCTCTCACTCAGACTGCGAAAGGCGGCTGATATACTCTCTCGATCTCCGAAGCATTACTTGGGGACGAATTGTTCACTCCATCACCGCATTTCTGAGTTGGATACATTTGCTACGTACGTGCATTTTTATAACCTGTATCGAATCACGTATTTAACATCAAGTAGGACTGCGCTGGGGAACATTTCAACATCTCCGGAGCCGGAACCTGTCATAATGCAAGACGTGTCCTGCCAGCCCAACACGGACATGAACCGCCATCATTCGCAGGTATTCTCGAGGTCTTCAATGGCTCCGAGCGGCCTTCGCCCTTGGGACATTATTTCGAACAGTTCTCCCGTTCCCTGTGACGACCCGTACATGACATGGGATCGTTCTTGAGTTGTTGCGTTCTGGCGGGGAGAAATAAATAAATTATTGATTTGTGATGGGCAAGTGATGGGCCCTCTTCATAGATTTATCAGCGGTCTGTACTGTACTCTTGCTATACCATTATGAATATGTTGTCGCTTATCTGTATGCTACTGTAATCATTTTATTGCACAACCACCAGTCGAAACCGGGTGTTATACGTCGAGCCGCAAAATGAAAGAATTGACTCGGCTGACTCAGCGCATTGTGAAGACCCTCGCTTAGTAATCTTCAACGAGCAAAGTTACTTGAACTTGAACCAGCATGGCTTCACATTTGGTGAGTACCGCCTCCTCTTCATTTTCGTTATATATTAACGCGTCTCGGTGTCCCAGGCCAACATCTTCGGAACAGAACAGGATCGTGTCAACTGTTCATTCTACTACAAAGTTTGTACCGACTTTTCTCTTCTCTTCTCACCTTCACTCACGAGATTCCCAACCTTTAGATTGGAGCGTGCCGTCACGGAGATCGCTGCTCGCGCAAGCACATTAAGCCTCCATTCTCGCAGACCATCCTGCTTCCAAATGTCTACCACAATCCCGCGCACGACCCTGTTTGCAAGCTCACTGAGAAAGAACTCCAAGAGGGATTCGATGCTGTCTATGAAGATCTCTATTGCGAGTTGTCGAAGTTTGGACACCTCCTCGAGCTACATGTAAGCCTTCTTCTTGTACTATCGTCTGCTTTCGCCGTCTAAACTAACAAATCAGGTTTGTGACAATGTCGGCGACCACTTGATCGGAAACGTGTACGCCCGGTATGAATGGGAGACAGAGGCACAAGCTGCTGTGGACAGCTGCAACGAGCGTTGGTATGCAGGTGCGTAGTTCGCTCTATACATTCATCACAGGATCTAACTTTTGTTCTAGGTCGGCCACTTTACGCAGAGCTGTCACCTGTTACGGATTTCCGCGAAGCATGTTGCCGACAGAACGAGAACGGCGAATGTAATCGTGGTGGCTTCTGCAATTTCATGCATCTACGCTTGGCCTCGAAAGATCTCGTTTCATCCCTTCGTGCTGGGCAGCGCCTTGAAAGGCGACTCAACCCCTCGAAAAATGAAAGTGGAGGAGGTGGCTGGGAGCCTGGCAAGCGAGAAGGCGGGCGAGGGAGGAGTGCCAGTCCCAGGAGAGGTGGCCATAGCGGAGAAGATAGGTGGACGCGGAAGTGAACTTTTTTTCCTTTTCCTTTACTGTAATTAGGTTGTTTGCTGTATCTTTTGCCCAGCTGATGCTGTAAAACAGGTCTACTGCCTGAATTGAACTAAGTAGACTCCATCCCTCAATCATGAGGGGTTAGGTGGGCGAGGTCACCATCTTGCCTAAGAATTTGTCTGCAAGCGGGACGTCGTGCTGGGCAACAGCAACATACCAGGTACCTCCGCAAAGTCGGCGTGAGGGACATTCCGACACTCTGAGTCTATGGGGCGAAAAGACTGTCAGACGAGCCAACCAACACATTCTCCCCGGCCTTTGTCTGAAAGTAATTGTGGCCACTGAACAACAAATCTGAGCAAACATTGTTAGCCAGATAGCTATAGCGTCTTGGAAAAAAAAACTCGCCGGTCAGCCAAGGGACGAAGAAGCTTTCCAGAAAGGGAGAGCGACGTCACGCGTGCAAATGATTCAACATAAATGACAACGGGAGCTGGCAAGCCGAGAAACTGCGAACGGTAAATGAGATTGTGTTGTCCCACAGGGGCATGAGTTTACACGTACTTTGTTGATGTAGACCGCCACGCAGAGGATAAAGCAGGTCCCTGGACCGTTAAGGATCAAAACATCTGCGAATCTTGAGCGGGATTCTTGGAAACACAAATTGGGCTTGATGGTAACGTGATAGACGCATGTGAAGAGAGAAACGATGCTGGAAGCAGGGGTTGTTAGAAGAGATTGGTGGACGCGGCGTGCGCGGGGAATGGTCAAGATACTGTAAGACTGGGTACCATCAGACGCCTGCAATCTCTACATTAAGTGGGTAACGAGACACGCATTCTGCCATAGAACCAACCTCGGCTATAGAACTTTCAAGAGCTTTTGCCTTCTGGGCGCTGAGGTGATCCCCTGCGCTGATAATATATTGTCTATGATGGTATTTCTGAGGATCTATGGCCGAAACGAGAGCCAAGGCTTCAGTTGTGTGGCCACCTGGATTCACAAAAGACTCGTTGGCTGACATGAAAACAAACGGCAATGGAGCAACTCGCCTGAGCCAAGGAATACAGCGAGATTACAAGTTGAGCGTTTTGGCTGTGAGGATGAACGTCGTTTAGTATCGTTTGGAAGGATCGTATAAAGGCGAGCCGCCGCGAGGAACAAAGCGAGCGTAAGAAACACGATAATGTAAATCATTCTAGTGGATATGACTAGAATTTTGTCGGATGTCAAGTGAGCGCGAAGGTCGCAGAGAACTTGAGTCAAGTATCCGTTGTTGCTCGTTGGTAGCCTAGTGTTCTGCGGATTCAGCGTTGTCGATCCAAGCAACGGTGAAGAAACCCTGAAACGTATATTCGTCAAGCTTGAGCCTGACCAGCGGCGAAGATATGGAACGCGGAAAGGTCTGTTTCGACCAAAAAGGAAATACACAACGTTTGCTCTCTCCACAATCAACTCTGGAATTTCCAAGCATCTGTCCAGCGAGAGCTCGTTATTTCTCGGCTCACCAAGGTTCACATAGGTTTATTCGAGAACTTTGTTTCAAATTAGACGAGCTTGACTTGCCATTCTACTTGTCTGGATTGCACAACAAGCTTCATTCACTATGACCGACGTACTGAACATTGACGCGCAAATCGCGTCGGAATTGAGAAAAGCGGCCAAAGAGTGCTCAGATCGAGGATTGTCGGTCGCAGGCAAGTGGTGAGTGGACCAAAGATGTCTGTGATGTTGTTCAACCGAAGAAACTAGGGCGTCGGAGCTCCTCTTGTCAATGCCGACAGCCAAACGGAGGCCTACGCAGCTTTCTCCATCTGCATCCGCCTTCTCCACATCTACACCTGCCCGACCCCGGTCTCAAGACCCCTCGATGTCTTTCACGGAAGAGTCCCCAGTTGCAACACAAGCTCTTACACAACCCACAGTCCCCATCACCCCGGCGCGTAACCCGCATGCTCCAATGCTACAAGTTCAGCCTGAAGACATTCTTGCGATGGAGGCAGACTTGGAATATCAAGAAGCGGATGTACTCGCCGCAGCTCGATTATGCTTTGAAAATAGAGAATTTCAAAGGGCTTCGCATATGCTACAGACATGTAGAAGTTCCAAAGCTATGTTCTTGAAAATCTACAGTCAATTTATCGTGAGCTTCACTTCACCTCTCAACTGTTCTATTCTTATAATCATGTTTTCTCAGGCTAGCGAGAAGAAGGCTCATCGTGACTGGCATAAACTAGACAGTGCGAAAATTCTGTTCTCAGTCCGGCCGTCGTTCACACCGAACCAGACAATCGGCATCAACCGCCAGTCCCAGTAAATACATCGTTGAACGATCTTCTAGAGGAGGTGAAGAATGCAACGGACCCCTGGTTGCTCTTCTTGTGAGTGGAGTTCACGTCATCTACTCTGGCGACCGGCTGGTGCTGATTGGTTGCTTGTTTCCCGTAATCCAGAAAGGCGCTATTTCTCTCGCGTTCGTCGAGGAGAGAAGAAGCGATTGAGAGTGCCCTCCTTTCCATTGCCGGTTTCCCCTGGAATTGGTCAACATGGACGCTCCTCGGCAGTTGTATTGGGGATGGTGAAGAAGTTTGTTCAGCACTCCTCTTCTCGGTTGATGCTGATCAATCTTTGTGCAGCTATCGTCTCTTCTACAGCTTATGCCATTGCCTCTGACACATCCTCTGGTACAATTTTTCCAAATCAAGACGCTGAATGAATTGCACAATCCCTCGGAGAACGAACTTCAGCTATGTGATCGACTCCTACGACCAGAATTCTTCCCGAACAGCCTCTGGGTTATGAGCTTACGAGCTTGTGTCCTTTATCATCTCCATGGTATGTCGTTTGCTGTTTTCTCTTGAGCCAATTGATAACAACTTTTCCTATATCAGATTTCGGTCAAGCAGAAAATCAATTTGAGAGAATCTTGGCAATCGATCAGTACAGAGTTGACGACATTGACATCTTCTCCAACATTCTCTACGTCACAGAAAATAAGCTCAAATTATCAAGGCTTGCACACGAGTTTCTTGCCCTGGATAAAGATCGTCCGGAGGTGTGCTGCCTTGTTGGTAGGTTGCTGGAAAATAATGTATCTTCTGCTTATCCTCACTTGTTCGTGCAGGCAATCATTATTCTCTTCGTGCCGAGCATGAGAAAGCTGTCAAGTATTTCCGAAGAGCCACCCAGCTTGATCGGACGTATCTTTCGGCGTGGACTCTTATGGGCCACGAGTACGTCGAAATGAAAAACTCACATGCCGCCATTGAGGCCTACAGGCGCGCTGTAGGTATGATTTGCGCTTTTGTTACGCTGCAACGTATCATTCACACCGCTTCTGACAGACGTAAACAGGAAAGACTACAGAGCTTGGTATGGACTTGGTCAAGCATATGAACTCTTGAGTATGCATCATTACGCTCTTCATTACTATCAACATGCCACTGCTCTTCGGTGAGTGGCTTTTCCTTGTGATCACACATCGTAGCCAATGTTTTCTAGTCCGTATGATGTTCGTTTGTGGCAGGCGCAGGGAATGTGTTACGAAGAAATTGGACGGTTCGTGAAGTTACATGAATTTTTCTCTCTTCTACTAAGCTGACTATTAAATTACAGCCTTCGCGAGTCCGTGGAATGTTATAAGCGAGCGTTGATCCCAGCAGACCCACATGAAATAACTATCAATCTCAAACTAGCGCGACTCCATCGCTCCCTTGATGAGCATGCCGAGGCAGTGGCATACCATCGCCGCGTGGTGGAGGTCTGTCAAGCTGATCGTACGTGATCTCCCACACAATTTTTTTGGTGCTTGCTGAATGGGCTTTCATTTGGTAGTTCGACCCATACAGGATTACGCTAAATCAAGTTTGGAAGTTGCTGAGTACCACATGCGCACCGCTGGTGGCGACCTCATGCTCGCCAAAGAGTATTTGGAGAGAGTTGCGGGAAGTAATGCGGAAGATGTTGGCCGTGCAGCAGAGTTGCTCAAAGATGTGAAGGCTCGTATGTTGGAGATGGCTTATTCGGCGCTTGAGGAGGCGCGCAGTAAGAATGCGGCTGTAGTTCCTGGGTCAGATTCAGCAGGTGTAGAAATGGCGACTGATCCTTAGATTTTTTGAGTAGTAAGATATTATCAACAAGGGGCATAAATACACTCAAACTGAAGCGGCCATCCTAAGCAGCAATAACAAAGAACCCATTTAGGAGTTATTTAGTAAACAATATTGATGAAGGACTTTTCCTCCGTTGTCAAGAACCTCAATGGTGTTCCAGTCATCAACGGATACGACATATAAGTTTATCGACGTCTACTCATAGGTTAGTATACGATATCGCAGATATCAACAAGAGGCTTACCTCGATGCACGATCTTGGGAGGGCGGGTACGAAAATCAATAATGATATAGTCAGACATCCATCCCTTCTCAACCCATTTATCATACTCCCCTTCGGTGAATCGTCTTGCGTGTTGGCCCAATCGATTACCATCACGAAGAAGTTCAACGCCCCATTTTTTCGACCGGATGAAGAAATCAATCCTTCCGTTTTTCGTACCAAACTCTGGAAATGAAACAGAACCATTCGCGTGCTTAGAGGATGCGGAGTAGAACTCGTCCTGGAATTGTGCCTCTGGGATGGATTGTGCCTTGGGACCTATTTCGCGTTTTTCTAGGCTTTGCCGTGAAAACCTCTGGATAACAGCTAGGGAAAATTCGAACGGGTTCGGCTCGATGATCCTAGACTCCAATGGCGATCCATTGAGCTTCCAGTTTATACATCGCCTGTGGAGCGGAGATGCAAACGTGTACAATATTCCATCGATATCTGCTCTGGCTTCTGTATGCAGACCGGAATATCATGCGGAGGGCCGCCTTTCGTTTATCGTCGTTGTCGGGGTTCGAAGCGAGGTAATCGTCCGGGCAGACAATGGATTCTTTTCTAATGACTTCACTCATTACAGCTGTTACATCCAGGTTTTCACGTAAAACATTCGCCTGTGGTAGACCACGGCCAAATACCGTTCCTTTGTAGATGGCCTGGGGTATGTCAGCCATGGAGACACCAGTGATAAACATTTCGTAGGTGTATTCGGCAGATTTCACCCGTTCACGATATGACTAAATTAGAATCAGTATTAGTCGAAACAAAAATGAAAGGGCTCTTTACCTTGTGCGTGGCGACGCACTTCATCAAATCCTCGCAAGCTCCCACATGACCCTTCGTCATATCAAAGACACAATCGAGGAAGGAGTCAGAAAAGCAGTTATCGTGGAACTTCAGTCGTACGAGCGCGTTGAATTCTTCTCTAGTGAAAAGAAGGCCAACAAGGATCCCATCCCCGCAGTCAAGACGAGCAAGGCCCACGCGCTGTTCCTTTCCGATCCACATTGGCGTTACATTGTCGGCCCCGGTGTAACCAGAGCTGCCGTGGCTGGCAAGAGCAACAACCCGCATACCCTGTAAACCCGGATTCTTAAATTTATTCCAGAAAATTTTATCCCAATACGTCGTCTGCGCTTCGTCTAGAATGAGGATCGTATTCGGGGTGATCTGCACAGGCAGATTTTCTGGCCATGCATCAACAGAAACCACTTCCGTATCAGGTTCTGTTTCATTGATATAGCGGCGAAGGAGTCCCGCCAACACAGACTTTCCGCTACCTGGAGTGCCTCTGACTGAAAATTTTGTTTTTAAGGAAGTCAGAGCAAAAAATTGCGATACCATGTACCCATCTTTGCTTTTTGAGTTTTTCATACAGAGCGGAGACTGTTAATTCACGTTGAACATCTGAGGGTGGAGGGTCCTATTATAGAGATTGCAGACAGTAAATTGAAAGGCCTTACAAGAAGCGTGGATGTAGTCCTCTTCGGGTTTCAGTTTCTTTAATGGTGGTTCAGCAGCTGAGCAATCATCAGGATATGGTAGAGGTCAAGAAAACAGTTGAAGTCGTGAGTTGGTAAAGAAAAAATGAGGGAGGTTGAAGTAAATGCGGGTTGGGAGAGCAGAGAGAGTTCGGAAGAGGTTCGCGACACCATGGACAGGTTATAAGACGAGGGGAATGGAGGAAGAGAAAAAGTGGGTGCCAGATGAACAGGGCATCGAGAAATGGCGAGATGGGAACATGCGGGAAGTAGTCCAGAGCGGCGAGCGAATCGCGTTTGGGAGCCGGCGAAAAGAATAAATGACATTGATGCGTGCGGAGTAGATGTTATGGTCAGTCCCAAACGCGTAGAAGGCAGAATGCCAATCCCAGCAGGAGAATGAAAGGGAATATCGAGGAAATTGAAGCGAACAACGAGTTGGCAAACGAGGCAGGTTTTCGGGTGAAATCTTATCAATAACGCTCAGCCACGGAGATTCACTCTCACTCACCGGTAGCAGGGACCTTCACGATTACGTGGAGGTGCTCACTGGGAGGTTGATTTGGAAAGATACTGAAGAGGCTGTCTGTGGGCTCTAGTTTGGTGGCAAATTGCGAAAGGCTATCTCCCAGGGACCTGATACGTGCAGCGAGAGTGTTGGCTGGCTTAGCGGTGATAGGGTTGGAGTCGTTTGGCTGGAAAGGTGGTGATGTAAGTCATGTCACTTCGCATCGCAACTCGTCGATTGCACTCACCTTCCACAATTCTAAGGTGTGAGGATCAACATCCTTCAAGGTATCCAGCCCTCGCTCCTTTTGTATAACCCCCTTCAACTCGCTAACCACGTAATCGCACCCCATGATGACTAAAAAGACGATAAATTCGCCCGCGATAAGACAATGAAGCCGACGAGACTGTGTTTCAGGCATAGCGCTCGATGTGCCTGCTGGGCTCCCCGTTGGCTTATCCCCTTTTGTTGGCCGTTTGCGAATGGACCCAATTGCAGAGGAAGGTTTGTCCTTTTTTGAAGTGCTCATAACTGCGTCTGGTGAGGGAACGGTCAAATGAGCAAGAAGAGAAGAGGGCTACGTTTACATGTACAAGTTCCACAGACCTGCCCTAATGCAAACCCAGTGCCGGTCACGGGCCCAGAGGCCCAAAATCAAACACGAGAATGTCTAAAAGCTTCGCTGCCTCTTCCAACCCTCAACGCAGCTATAGTTCTGTATATCGCGCTCCTGTCACAGCGCAAAATACCCTGGGAGCAAATGGATCGTTTACAAAGTCTCTCTCTGGCCTGTCATCGTCCATAGGGTCTGCCATCTGGCAAGCACCATCCCACTGGAACGTCGGCTCGTCTACGGCTCCACAACAACCCACAGTGTCGTACAAAAAACCTCCGAAAGTGAAGAAGAGAACGCCTGAGGAGCTCGAAATTACCAAGCAAAAGGCTGCTAGGTTGTTGCATATCGTGTTCATTTGCCAGTTAAGGTAGCTCACGTCATGTAGAGTTGCGTCGCGTCTTGCCCTTGATCAACCAGCCGTCTTGAATCCTGACGTGGATACTCCCTTTACCGACCATCTTGACGTAGTGAATCGGTTGCTTCCTTATCATGTCTTTCAACAACCCAAAGAAGACTTGGAGTATCTGTTGAGCGGGAAGGGGAAGGGCAAGGGCAAGGCAAGGCAACTTGATCTGCAGGAAGAAGTTCAAGGTACGCTCGCTCGTCATTTTTTGTTTCTGTAGTTCATCCTGCGATTGTAGAGACAACCTTTGCCCTCGAATGTTATCGGCGACGTCAGGCCATACATAAGAGGATGAGAAATTTGAAAATCCGTTCGGGAAAGGTGTGGCCTTTTGCTTTAATTCAAGACAATCTCATTCAATGCTCTGCAGCGTCTGGCGCCTGACGATCAAGCCTACGTTTTAGCTCAGTCCGTTCTGGAAACCGAACGTAATGAGACTGCTCAGATAAGCATTGAGTTGCGCACTGCTCGAGCCGACCTGGAACGAATAGAGAGAGATAAACGGATGGCGTCGGGGAACATGGGGCGCGTCACGCAATATCCGTCTGCTACACCAGCAACAATGCCGCAATACTATCGCCCATATCCTTACCCATATACGCAAGTGTATGGTGCACCCATGGCCACCGGCTCCACATCAACGTTTCAGGCCAGTCCACCACCACTGCCACTTACGGGATACACCCCGTATCAGTCGGCAGGTGCTATTCCAGTTCAGCTTCCTGTAGCGTCTTTGCCGGCACTGCACGCACTTGGGATTATGCCTGTTCCTGCGTCATCTCTTCCTCCTGAGGGACAGCCGCAACCAGCAGCCGTCCTGCGAGGATCAACGGCGAATGGCACGATGCTTAGTTTGGAAATCAACGTGTCCTTGTTACAGTCCGCTCAAATGAGTGGGCTAGCGATGGTATTGAACTCATTAATGGCAAGAAGTGGGCAGGTGCAGGCGGAAGCTATGGGAAATTCTGCTACGCCTACAGAGACGCTCGCGAAAGGCTCGTAATGTAGTTAGAGATACAAAGTTTGGGTAGAAAGCATAACTTTATAATTAAGCATAGCTTCATCATTGTTTCGCTGTGTCAATTATTTCCTTATTGGTCAATGTTCCCGACACAACTCGCTTTCCGACTTGGCGTCGGACTTGTTTTTCTTAAGGCTGTCTAATCCCACTTTTAATCGATAATCCTCCTTCGTTTTCTCCAGGTCGATGCATAGCGTAGCGACATCCGAAGGGACTGAAAACGGAGCACCCTCATCGCCTACATGGCGTCGTGAACGGTTGTTACGCATCGGCAGTAACAGCACGTTGCGAGCTGGGCCAAGCAATGGAGACGTTGCTTCTTCTCCAGTCGACAGTATCTCCGGGCTCCCCATTGTCACTGAGACCTCGTCACTCTACTCCAACGAAATAAGACGGTCATACGGGACATTGCCTTCACGTCGGAGGAAATCAAAAGGGACAACATTCGCGTCCCGTAGGGGTTTACCTCAGCCTCCTGCCCTCAATGTTCTTCACAGGACAGCATCCAACCCTGCAAGCCCGCATTATATTCATTCGACCCTAAAGGACCTTGCCTTCGGTCGGTTGAGCTCTGCACGCCCCATCTCCGCCTACGACAATCCCGATCATATCAATAATGACGAGCCAGAACCTGATGTTAAGACCAACGGAATCCGGGTTTGGTACTCGTCGTTCACTTCCATTGATTGGCTTCATGACGCCATCAAAGACTCGGTGCGTTTCTCGAAACTCAGGAAACACAAATCGATTCGGTCTCGCATCCGGCTCGCATTCGACAAGTCCCTGGGATGGTTGGTCGTCACTATTGTTGGTTTCCTTACCGCTGTCGTCGCGTTTCTTATCATTCGGAGCGAACAATGGCTCTTTGACACCAAAGATGGATACTGTGCGAGTGGATGGTGGAAGGCGAAGAGGTACTGTTGCCCTCTAGAGGATACTGGCGGTTTCCACCGTCCGCGCCATGTAGAAGATACTTGCCAGACTTGGAAAACCTGGTCCGATGTTTTTTCTTATCGACAAGGCGACCACGGAGAAAACATCGTCGATTACATTTCGTACGCGTGTATCGCAGTGAGTATTTCATCTGTTGGGAGTCTATGGCTGCATATTGATAGGTTTTAGCTTACACTGGCTCTGATATCTTGTCTGCTAACGCTGTATCTCACCAATTCCACTACCTTTGTCACGCGAAAGGAATCGGGCGTTCAATCCATTCACCCAGGAACACCAGACGATGTCAAGGACCAAATGACACCTACAGCCGGACCAAAACGCAAAATCATGTACTATGTATGTTCAGTCCTTTTTGAAGTGCGTGCTCATATCTCATTGGCTTCGTAATAGGCTGCTGGAAGTGGGATTCCAGAGATCAAGACAATCCTTTCTGGTACGCGACAGGCACAGCCCTCAAGTATATAGAGAACCCTGACCTTCAATCCTAGGTTTTGTCATCCATGGATATCTTGGTGGGCGCGTCTTGTTCACGAAATCTGTCGGTCTGGCGCTTTCAGTTGCGTCGGGTCTGTCATTGGGAAAAGAGGGTCCGTTTGTCCATATTGCAAGCTGCATTGGAAATATCGTTAGCAGAATTACTGCGAAATACGAAAACAACGAAGGTAGCCATCAAGAGTATAGGAGAACTACGCATTAATCTGATACCATTGTTAGCCAAACGTCGTGAAATTCTTAGTGCTGCTTGTGCTGCTGGTGTTGCCGTTGCTTTCGGGGCGCCAATTGGTGGGACGCTGTTCAGTTTGGAGGAGGTTTCTTATTTCTTCCCTCCCAAGGTGAGCTTCTTTTGGTTTTTTCGCCTACGATACTCAGATTATATACAGGTCATGTGGCGAAGGTCAGGCGACGCGAGTTAATTTTATAACTCTTCCTCTTGGCTGATCTACCCCAGCTTCTTCTGTGCAATGATTGCCGCGATTACTCTCAAGATGCTTGACCCGTTCGGAACGGGGAAGTTGGTGTTGTTCCAAGTGACGTACGATAAGGTGCGCCCGTCCTATTTCCTTCCCGGATTCCTTGCTTAGTGTCGGTAGGACTGGCATGGTTACGAGCTTGTGCCATTCCTTATTTTAGGGTTGTTTGGGGTACGTTGGCCTATCGTCGTCACAAACACATAGATGATACTAATATCTATGTAGGGCGTCTATGGTGCCTACTTTTCGAAACTTAATTATCGCTGGAGCAAACATGTTCGAAACAAGACTTGGCTCGGGAAACACCCGATAGTTGAAGTGCTTTTGGTACGTTCTCTCCCCTCGACGAACACAAGCCACTGATTGCTCGAGTAGATCACGTTACTGACAAGTATTTTCTGCTTCCTCAACCCTTATACTCGCATGGGAGGCACAGAGCTCGTCTACGAGTTGTTCGCCGAATGTCAAACCGGCAAGACCACGCACTCTGGGCTTTGTGTCGTCAATCCTGGGTCATTCGAGCATGCATGGCCTGTGGTGCAAGCCATTCTGATAGCCATGGTCGTCAAAGGCGCCCTGACCGTGGTCACTTTTGGAATCAAGCTGCCTGCTGGCATCTTCATCCCCACGTTGGGCGTGGGTGCGTGCGCAGGCCGCGTCCTTGGTATTGGAATGCAATGGTTGCAAATGAGAAACCCAGATGCTCAGATCTTCCGTTCTTGCGGCGGTGATCTGGATTGTGAGCTCTATTGTGAATTATTCGAAGAAAAAGATCACTGATAGTCAGCACAGGTATTGTTCCCGGTCTTTATGCCATGGTTGGAGCAGCAGCGACCTTGTCAGGCGTCACGGTTGGTGTCGTATTTTTGTTGTATGCGTGTTTGTTCACTATGACCGCAGCGGACGACGGTCTCTTTGGCTGTTATAATGTTTGAACTCACAGATACCCTGACTTATGCCGTGCCTGTCATGTTGTCTGTCCTTGTTGCTAAAACAGTGGCGGACGCTCTTGAACCTAAAGGCATCTACGACCTTGTGATCGAACTAAATCAGCTGCCCTATCTTGATTATAAGCACGAATATATCTGGGGACACCTTCAAATCAGCGAAGTGGTACGTGACTGCAACTTATATGCGCGATTGATCATTAATCTTCGACCAGACAAGTCGTGATGTTCCTGTCATTATTGTTGATGAAGAGAACACCGTGAAGAATTTGGGAAGGAAGCTCCTCGCCCTGACGTCGTCGGGCGCCGACGATAGTGGCTTCCCTATTCTTAGGCAGGATAGGAATGACGATGGTCTCCGAATGGTGGGATACATCGGCACAAACGAGTTGGAACATGCTCTTAGTGCGTTCCCCTCCTCTTCTTTGCTGTGGCTTTGCTTTTGCTGATGAAAGCGTCCAGGCATTCTGGCGGACAATGAGAACGACGCGGTCCACTTTCATGTGGCGGATACGCACGCATTGATGTCGTCTTCCATCCTGTCCTTTGCAGAGGCTCAAGAGCAAACGCTGGCCACGGCTGATCCGTTCAACTTCACACCTTATATGGATCAGGTGTGCCCTTTCTACATTCTCCTTCTTGCCAATAATAACCTTCTATTTTAAAAAGGCCCCTCTAACCATTTCTAACAACTCTCCTTTGGAGCTTCTCCATCAGTTTTTCACCAAGCTTGGAGCGAGATACGTTATTGTAACAGATACTGACGGATTGTGTACGTGCAAGTGTTCCTCCCCCTTTCCTCCTTGTATTGACTTGCATCTAGACGAAGGCGTTATCGAGAAGAAGACCTGGCTCGCTTTTGTTGCTGACCTCGAAGAGAAGTCGTGATTTCCTGTGACCTGCTTAATTTCTCCAATGCATACCCTTGTTGCCTTGGACATTCCGATTCACACTTACATTAGTTTTGTAGTCTTGAGCCCAACGATTCATCGGATTCAAAGCCCCTGTATTTTCCACACTACAATCTCAGCCATCGTCCGCCTCCTCCAAAAACAAAAATCTAAGTTGGCAAGCGCAGGCCTCAGTGAAATTGTTACATGGATCGCTAGGACACCTAATTATTGTGGAACTGAAAACGGGGCAGCTCTATCGCGGCAAGCTTGCTGAAGGTATGTGACTTGAATTTGCTTTCTTCAACAGAGGCGCTTACGCACATTTTTTTTGGGGATAGCGGAGAATAACTTGAACATCTCTCCGAAGGATATTACCATGATGGACGTGTATCTCAACTTGAACAAGTTTATATCCGAGGAAGCATGGTTCGGTTCTTCATCGTTCCTGACATGTTGCAAAATGCGCCCATGCACGAAGGCTCTCCGTCCTTTTCTTTTGTTGTATGCTTATGGCCTGCTTTTTATTTCCATTCCTGCCGATGATGTCCTCTTTCGTGACTGATTCTATGATGAAAATGGATGTGCACAGGTTCAAACGGACCAAATGCCATGAGGGGGAGAGGTATAGGGACAGCCCGTGGGCACGCTACGATTATGCGAGGTGCATCGCCGGTAGCGATATACATCTTCATTTCCACTGACTTCATTCCTTCCCTTCGTGATCAGCCAATGGTAGGCTGTTATTCATGCCGCGATACGGGATAATGATTTAATTGATTTACAGCTCGCCGCCGACGTGGAGTTGCGCCACCATCCCGTGGTATCAGGAGATAGATGAAAACTTTCGGGCGGCCGAACTTGGGAGATCGAGGGAGTGGGTGCACGCGAATGCGAGCATAGTAGGAAAGAAGAGAAAAAATTAAGGATGACTCGTCCTTGCTCAGGCATCCGACCCCACACCACAAAGAACATCCACTACTCTGCTCACTCTTTTTTAAGGGCCTGGTTTGCAATTGCCTCTTATTTTGTTGTAATAAAACACCCTCCAATTTGTAGACACCGTACTATCTCTGACATTCATCCGCGGAGGAACGTGATAGCGTGGCGCAGAAAGACGGTCGGTAAGAGGCGCATCAGGGCCAACAAGGGTTGGATTTCGCTAACGGCGCTCATTCACTTTGTTTTCCGAGTACTGCTTGTAACAAGTCTGCCCTCTCGCTAGAAGTCGGTTACCCTTCCCTTATAACTCCAATCTCCACCTTGGTCCTCTCCCCAACGCTTGACGGGCTCACGCTTGGGCCCGCCTTTTTCCCCTGTGAGGGGGTTTACGTCGCCCTTGAATTCTGGTTTGATTGGTGTGGGAGCATCAGGGTGGGTGTTTGGGAGGGTGTCAACAGAGGATGAGCGTGGTGCTTGTGCCCTGCGCTGGAGTTCTTCAAATTCGCGCTGCTGATCCTTAGGTAGCGGTGGTGGCCCTGGGCGATTAATGGTGGTGACGGAGCGAATGAGAGGCAACGTCAGACGATGTCGAAAATAAAGGGGATAGCCTGAGAGCATGACGGCTTATGTTCGGTGACGAAAGCCGCAAACGTCACAGTTACATTTTCCCTCCTTTCTTTCTGATTCAACCATACACCTCTTTCTTACACCACACCGCAGTAACACAAAAAGTTCTCCAGCGCAACCTCATCATTCCCCTCCAGCCATCCACAACTGGTGTAGATTTGGCGTGCAACGATTCACTCTCACCCAGCAAAGAAAACGATATTGCTGAACATGGGCTTACCAGGCAATCCCTCTCAGAATGTCATGGTGATGTTCACAGAACTTGACAACCAGATCAATGAACTCAAAAGCCAACTGGAACAAGAAATACAAGAATTCGGTTCGAAGCTACAAGAATTCAGGTCGGAGCTACAGGGCCTCAAGGCGGAACGCATATTTGAGCAACATAATATCAAGGCGCAACTAGCCACACTTCAACCAATCACTAGACGAATCCTGATTGATGCTTATCTCTCTGTGAAAGGCTACCGGCCTTCCTCCGGTACACACAGCGAGTGGATCAGCTCAAACATCACTAGGCTCCTCCCTCCTACTGGCACCACTGGACCTGTGTTTGAGCAGAAATTAGGGTAAGTGAACATCAATATTTGTTGCTGTCAACTGACACATCAAAATAGCTTGTACTGTCAACTTGGAGACACCTGGGCCCACTCAACACAAACCCTTGCCATTGCACTTGCTCTCGATGATCTGGGGCCCCCAGATGAAGACTTGAACTATATGTTTTTAGAATGCTTTGGTCATGACATTGGAGAAGAATTGGATGACAAGATCCCTTCAACTTTGGTTGAGATCGGAAAAGATGGCATAGCTCACCTTCAGAACACACCATCCCCTGTTCCCTGAGTGCCCCAGTACATGTACAACCTAAACCCTTCCCCTCTTGTGCCTCTCTTCCTTCTATACCTGTACAACATCATTTTCTACCTCTCCTATGAATTTAAAGTGTGGGTGACAAGCATAGTTATTGAATCTCAACCAGGATCTTGCATTTAACATTTGGTGATACTGTGTGAACCCTCAGCCCTCAAGGATACACAAGGAAGTGTGAGCTCCTTAACCAACAAACCTACTCCAACACACCTCTCTTTCCAAAAATTCTTCAACTCCTCAACCATTGCAGCCCTCTGCACCCTTGCTGCACCCATGCAAAAAGTACATTGACACCCCCATCACCCAAGCCCCAAAATGCATTGCAAAGATCAAGTCATTGTGGTGTAAGTTCTCCTAGCTTGAACATATATGGGTAGAGAAGTGCATCAGCAAAAATGATGGTTCCATGTCAGCCCTAGTACATATTGTATGGCAGTACTAACCTAGTACCTCGCTTGTATGGCTTTGGATGGGGCTTAAAAGGCTAGTCATCCGTAGGATGGGCCATGAAATCCTAGTGAAACCTAGTATGGATGGAGAAATCCTAGTGAAGCCTAGCATGGGGAGAGGAAGGCTAGTACCACCTAGTATGGTGTTTAAGAGGATATTATGATCCATTCATGTGAGTTGGTAGCTTGTCATCAGCCTAGTATGCTTGTACTAGGGTAGGATTCTTCAACCAAAATATTTTGTTCGTCGTGTCAGAAAACACTCATTTTTATGGACTTACTGAAATACATGTAAAACTCTATAAATGCTGCTGTGGTGTGGTGGTCTAAGTGCTGTGTACAATGTTCATGCTGATTCTGCAACACCAAGGCTGCTGGTTCAATTCCAAGGGGGGTACACAATTTTAATTTAATATATCATGCTGATTTTTTTCGTAAGGCCACTATGGCGGGACTAACTAACCAGCGTGCGAATAAATTACCATATATAGGTAAAGTCTATAAATAGGTACCGTGTTTTGGGCGTCGTTTGGGTGTTGTGTCAGCTGCCTACACTGCGCGCCTTCGTTTGCCGCCCCTTCCTCTGCTTTTTTCTACGCTCTTGCATGGGTCACAAACCCAGTCGTTGATACCCTCAACTTCGTCTATACTCTCGCCGCAATCACACTCTCTCACAAGCTTTCATTTACTGGTGTTCCTCAAACCTTTTCGTAGGCTTCTCAGGTCTGAGTTTGCAGAGGCAGTGGGTATGTTGAGATCTGTAGCAAATCTGTGAGTTCCATGCCCATTCCCACTGTCGGTTCCTGTGTTGATGGCTTCTAGCTCATCTGCACGTAGGCCAACTTTTTGTGTGACGACGGCTGAAACAACTGCATCGGTCGCATCAAGCATCTCGTCTGCAGGTAGCCCGACCTCTTGCACGACGACAGCTGGAACAACTGCGTCGTTTGTGTCAAGCGTGTCTCCATCATTGGAAGGACAATGGAACGGGTAAGTGAGGAGAGCTCGTCAAACGCGTCAGAGAGCGCACCAGTCTAATCTAAGCTCATCCGGTCCGTAAATTACCCGAAATTGGTACTTAAAATAAAAAAAATTTAACGGTCTGGCGGCTGGACTAACTAACCGGCCCCATATGGCAAATTCAAATCCCGCTCCCCCCTTGTTCAATTCCCTCATTGCGTAGCTAATAAAATGTTGCATTTTGTCAAAAGCGGCTCAGCCATAAAACTATCTACAGGTTAAACTTCATTTGAATACTTTTCTACACACACGTATACTTTTCCCCACTTGATAGTAAGTGGGCTCGAAGAATATTTTGAACTTGTACTTACAGTACTTGAGATGTTGCGGTATCAAGAAATCTATGGTTGACAATAGCCTACAGGTTTGAATATCCCAATACTTCTGTCTCATTTTCTACACCTTCACCATCTTCAGGACCCAATTCATCGTCCACCTCATTGAGCACGTCAACATCAGAACTGTTGTCAGTCTCTTCCCCCGAGTCCTCTGCAGACAACCCACCATATCCATAGTCATCCTCCTCATCATCATCCTCGTCCATCCACTCTTCCTGATCTTCATCTCCCCCCACATTCCCTTCCTTGTTGTCGTCTTCGTTGTCAAAATCCGAATCCAATTCCATTTCTGAGGGTTCCTTGTCTATGAGATTGAGGGCATCCCAATCTTGCAAAAATTGGTCCATAGATTCACGTGTCGACTTGTGCCCAACGCCCCCCCCTCGGAATCGCATCACTTTATCTCTGTCAGCAAACCTAGAATCAAGGGCAATGAACAGAGTAAAAAAGCACAGTAAAGTTGAAAACTTACATTCCTATATAATAAAATACCCAGTCCTCGTCCTTTTCTGTGAGTGGACGAGCAATAGACGGCTTTAAGTTGCTTGTTCCTTGACCATGATGAAAAGCCGGCATGAGATGTACCACACAAATAACCTGTTCAGGGTCAAGAAATCCAAACGCGGCCTCGTCTTCTCCATCAACAAAACCCACTCGATGCAAGCGTTTTGGGCGCCAACCTGAGGGTTGTTCTTGATCGAGCCCAAACCATCTTACCCACAAGAATTCCATGTGTTGTGGCTCAGATGTGCGTGATTCGGGCCCCGTGTGCAGTACTTGAGTGTGAAAGATACCAATTATTCGTGCGTACCAATAAGGATGTTCTGGCATCCCATCTTCATGCATTGTTGGCTCTTGCGATACCACCATGATGTCCGCATGTGTCCTTGGATTCAAAGAATCTTGCTCGTGTCGCATGTCATAAGTTGTGTAATTTACCCGCAATACTTTGTGGCTGTAAATGCAGTTGTTGATAAATGCCACCGAATTTTGTTCTTTGGAGGTAAATTCTGTTTCATCTCCTGAATATTCACGTGCAAGGAGTTGACTCAAAAGATGATTTTTAAGTCTCAGGATGAAGTTCTTCAAAAAGCCCGAGTAAGAAAAAGTAATTTTGTCCAAACAGCACTCACCATCATGGCGGGGTCATCTTCATTTTCTCCTACCCATTGTACAACATCAATTTTATGTCTTGTATCTGATGACATATGGTGGTGCACTTGAGGATCAGTAAAAGGCAAATTCTCTGCCTCTTCGAAGGGAATTGTCAGAGCAAGATTTTTACGATTGCCTTTGCACAGTTTTTCCTGACGGTTTCCTGTCTCACCACTTCGGAGGGAAATTTTGTGAAGTATTCGTTCACGTCGTTGGTGAACGGATATTCCCTTCACATGCTTTCCCTTGTGAACACGTGGGTAAAACCGTTTTGGTTGACGGTGCTTGAGTTCCCCCTACATGAGTTGAATATAATTAACAAGGTAATAAAATGAACACCTACAGTCTGCGTGCTAGTATTATCTGTCGTTCCAAAGTGCTTGATGGTTTTCACATAATCACCAAGAGAGTGTAGCTTGTAGGTGTCAAGATTGAAATAGTGCTTCTTGAATGAACGCACTTTGGTCTTCTTTTGAGGGGGGGGAGTCGATCCCTTTCTATTCTGCAGTTTTTTGGCGGTGGCTGCTGCTTTTCGATGTCCCTGCGCGGCCTCTTCTGATGGTAGATTTTGAGTATCATACTCTTCGCAGACCGTGGATTTGAACTTTCAAAGCATGGCTCCTAATCTTGTTGTGGAGTTGTCCAGTGATCGTAAAGTCAACTCTGTGTGTAGCCGAAGTTTTGCAAAACCATGCCACGTCGCAAGCTCAAAAAGGAGGTCCAGTACAATCTTATTATGGCGTTTTGGTAGCAATCCCTCAAAGACAGGAATCACACACTGCAAATGGTGAGATAAGGAATCTGAAAAAAAGGCTAAAATCTACCTGTAAGAGGTCCTTGAAATCACAAGCTGCAAGCTTTTTCATGGCAGAAGCATTATTGTGGAATTTGTGAATGGTGTCTCGTCCGAATGTAGGCATGGCACGAAATCTATTTTTTGTAAGTGCAACTGTTCCTTACTGTGACAAAGTGACCTACCGGCGATTGAGTTCTTGAATGGCATCATCCCCATAGGCATGCAGAATGTGCATTAAATGCGTGAAAGTTGCCTTCCATACACTGAGTTCAAACTCGTGAAGGAGATCGGGTACGAACATCATGTAAAATTGAAATCCATATGCTAATAATCGCTCAGAGAAAGCATTCTAGATTTGGTTAACAATGATTTGATTTTAAATGAGAAGGGTAAACTTACGTGCATTGGAATGAGAGATTTGGGACCAAGGATTCTCTCGACAGCAACACTTACGATCCCATATCCGCCCTTATAAATCCAGTCTTGAACCAGTTGTATTTTACTTTGCTGATTTTCATCATCTACTTGCTCCTTTGAATTGCGCAATTTACGATCGCGTTTAGTTCCAAGTTTCGAAATGTCCACCTTGGAAATAAGGCAGCAAGGACATGGAAAGTTTCCAAGATACTTGATGCATGCAAGTATTGTTCTACAAGGTGGAATGGTAAGCCAACATGTTGAAGCAAAAAAAAATGACCACACTTCTCTGGATAATCTGCTCCGTAGAAAAAGAAGCAAGGGAAAAAACACCACATGATACCATCTGCACATTCCATCACGATTCCATGACAATACGCAACCATGAATTTGACACCAAGTAAAATGCGCCAGATTGCTTGGACAAGCTCTTGACGGCAGTGAGTGATCACTTCAGCAGTCGCCGACTTTCCAAATGTCTTGATGTACCAGTCCTGAAATGCATTGCCGAGCTGAATGATTATGATCAGATGAGATTACAAACTACCTTTAAATCACCCAACTTACCTTGGGAATGTAAGTGACATGTTGAGCTGCGAATGATGTTGGTTTCCCTCAAGGGTATTTAGACTGATTTCCAAACCATTTGTAAATTGGCCATAGAGCAGCATTGCCAAAACTGGTCAGGTGCATCGAATTGGAATAGCACATAATTGCGACCATGACGGTTTCTAGATTGCATCCAGGCTCACCGGGCTGTGCTCATATTCTTTTGTGCTCCTCGATGAAAGTCTCCGCAGTATAAACCTCTGAATACAGCCACTCCTTTTTTCCAGTTGGATCTGTCTTGCTTACCCAGTACTCTTCGAACGGAAATAAATTGAAGTGTTCCGCCGATGGTTCTTGAAAGGAGGCTTTGATTATTTCGACAAGAGGACGGTAAAAGAGACCTGGCACTTCATACTTGGGCACAGCATCAACAGAGGAGTGTTTAACACTGTCTGCGGGGACGGAAATTGATACCGAGGTTTCAATCCAGCCATCCTTTGGCAAAAATGGTGATTCTGGATTCTCCGATGTGTAATTATAAAGGCATTCCGCTTCCCGTGATGCACTAAAGCTGATGAAGTCTTCCTGTTTGAAATCAGGTTGCATTATAAGGTCCTCTACAAGGGTATTGAGCTGGGAAAGGGACTTGAGATTTGATCCATTGTAATGCCAATTGAGGATATGGAAGACAGAAGCATTGCGAAAGGGTGCAAAAAAATCTTTGACGGAAGAGAGAGATGATCCAAAAGATGACCACCATGGTCGCACTTCAGAAGAATGAGCATCCGGAGTGAAGTTCAGAGAATCCGAGACTCCGTTCAACGTGAACAATTCATCTGGAGTGAATGATGATCGACTGCTTGGGTATGATCGAAAAACACCATAGCTGTTTGGATTGGTTATGTATGGCGGCATGTCCTCGACATTATCCCCACAAGATTCCTGTGATTCACATGAAATAGGAATATCTTCCAAAACTTCTGGAAGAATAATTGGTGGCACTGGAGGTGGCTCATCACAAAAACGTGCAGGCATGCGCCATCTGCAGTCAGGAAGGCCTGATGGCCTTAATTCGACAGGTGGCATTGGCAATTGTGGAAGCTGAGAGATAAAACAATTACCATTTTTTAAAGTTTCCGACAGTTAATTGTACTCACAGGTTCTTGCTCAACCTCAAATTCACCGTCATTGCTGTTTTCCCTCAACTCATCACGCTGCGCAAGGTCTTCCTGTGTAAGTTCCGTCGCCATATTTTGTATTTTCGAGTTTCCATCGTTTTTTGTGTTGAGTTTTCGCTTGGTGCCAGCTGATGTTGTAGAAAGCGCCTTATATGCTGTGCAAGAACATTGGTGAATGCTGAGGCCACGATTATCATTGAATTTTTGAGGACAGGCTGGACATTTCAAAAGTGCAGGCATGCAGAGGAGCAGAAATATAATGAAAACAAGGGGTTTTATCCCCAGAGTCAGCATAGGTTGGCGTGCACGATGCAACGCTACAGGACAAGACCTGAGATAATTGATATCTCGAAAGTTTGGACTTGTTTGATTCACAGGGTTCACATGACCACGTCGCATTGCATTTCTTTTCATTCTACCTTCTCCACTGACCACCATGTCGGACGCCTCCAACGCTTCTGACGAGGAGGAGGAGTGTTCTCTGCTCTTGAAGAGCTTGGAAAAGAGGTTGATGAGTGTGGGGAAATCACCATAAGTGCTTTTCTTTGAGATATCAATGGTCTTCTCACCACATGCAGCAACGATGCTATGGCTGTCTTTCTGGTTGCCACCAAGTGGATTCCACGTTCTATACACCCATTTCTCAACCTGACAAGGGTCATATATGCAGGGTTTCAGGATGCTGATGAAGTGGATGTCACGGAAATTGAAGAGTATGTTTAGTGTGCACGTTACATACCTGAATACTGACACTCAGCAGGCCCTTGGAGGAGGAACTGGCTGCCAACTCATTGTTCATGAAGCTAGTTCCCCATTTTGAGAGGGTTTTGAAGGAGGTCGATGTGCAACCCGGCTTGTTGCACAGTTTTATCAAGATGGTGAGTACATTATATGCGCTCCAGGAAACGAGCTGATGGCGGTAAGTAATCAGCTAGCCACAACATTGAATGACGCGCACTCCGAAGACACCGGAAGCCTTTGCTACGCTATCCTCAGCTACATTCCCAAGGATGTGCGAAAGGACACACTCGAGCCACCGCTATTAACAGATGACAGCAAAGCACTCCGTGGATTCCACCACCCAATGACAGCGAGACTTCTGTGCCCCATGCGGCTGATCAGCGACTTTGACGCAAACCCTTCGTGCCGGTCAACTCTCCACCTACCTATTTATATGTGCTGACAACTTCTCCTCAGCGATTTCATGACACATGTACAAGATGGCAAAATTAAGATATGAACTAAACACTGGCCATCATTCTTATATGACGAGGGAGAGTATGATAGAGAGGAATGTGACAAAGGGTTGTTCAAAGGTTTTTTATTGCTTCGGGTTCGTCTCACCTCATCATAACTGGTAGTCTTCACAATTATATCTCTGTTACAGGTGTACCGTCATATCTTTACAAGCCCGTCATCAGCTATAGGCAAGGTTAGAAAAGGAACGAAGCCCAGCAAAGCTCAAATCTATGGTATGAAATGTGCTAGCGGTCGCACGATCACATATGCTTGTGTTCAGGTAAGGTTTTGATATCTCTTAACGCCACCTGATGCCCTGCAGACACGCTTCTTGCTGAGCAATCTCAGTTCATGGTCCACAGTTGATGGCCACTTCGACCTTCATGCATTTTACAACAACATTTTTTTGAAACAAATCCACATTCATGTTGGGTCGTCGAAACGCTCAACTGGTGGAATGCGTACGTTTTTCTCAACTGGTGGAATGTGTACGTTTTTCTCAAATATCATTCATAGATCTAATATTTTTATCAGTCAAGTTTTGTGGCTGAAAGCTCGAGGTCACAAGAAGGTGAAAACATGTGAAGACCTTACAGAGTCTGAGGATTCGGGTGACGACGATATTTTGGCGAAACATCGTGCCGAGGTAATATTTTTATTTGGTCTTTGAGGCTGCTGAGCTTTCCAAATAAGCAGATGCAGTCATCGACGGACACTACGTGTGGCCGTACCGCTCAGGTAAACTCCCATAACATCATTAACATTGTATTGATAATATTGCAGAGGGATCAATCCCACTGAAGCAATGGCTCCCAATGCTCCACATCCCGACATTCTCGTCGTGACGACCCACCTCATGACCAAAGTCATAATCCCAGTTCTCCCCGCCCTCCACGCCATCACAGTCCCAGTCCTCCCCACCCTCACGCCATCCCAGTCCCAGTCCTCCACACCCTCCACACCATTGCAGTCCCAGTCTTCCACGCCATCGCAGTTGAAGTCGCCTTGGCTACATGCAAGATGGTCCTCGCGGCCGCAGCCATCAACACAACTCCTCCCACGCCTCCCACGCCACCACCAATGACAACGAACCTTGCCAACACTCCCTCAGCAGGGATGTCAACCGTCGTCGCTGCGATCCCCCCACTTCGCCACCTCAAGATGCACATGCCAGCGTGCCCAAAGGGAGACAACCTCATCGCAGGTCAAGTCCAGATGACGATGATGACCGTTCACCATGCGTGCGTCTGTCATCAAAGCGGAAGAGACTGTCAACATCCCCTACGAGTGGAATGAGATCGAAAAAGGCCAGAACCGTTGTTACAAGTGATTAAAGGTCTGCTCCTCATCTTGTCTTCGACTCGACACTGACTTTATTGATTAATTTTTTAGACTGCTGGTTTTTTTCTTATGCATGTTACTAACTTGCTCACATTATTTCGCAGTGTTTCCATTCATGTGCATTCACTTTGTTTTTTATTATTATCCATCCTTCCTGTCACATATCAACTTTGTGCCTTTGCTCGCTGTCTGCTGCATTCCGTTGTTATTTTTAGATGTTGTATTAGATACCACAAGAATGTTATGATTTATTTCATTCGCATTTTATCTGAAGTGGCCGGAATCTAGCATAACAAGCTGAGATCTAGCCTAAGGTTGTATGGAAAGGCTCAGATAGTATAGCCTAGTATGGCCTTGCATGGTGTCAGGATCTCGCACGGCCATGCAAGGAACTGGTACCATGCAAGGCCTATCACCTGGGATGTAAGCCAAGGTTCCAACCTTGGCCATGGAAGGAGGGCTAACCTTTCATGGCCTATTGGCGACTCTCATGGCCATTTATGGCCTTACGTGGAACCCGAACTTTTTCTGATGTGGTTGAAGGCTTGCGGCGTGCAGACTTGGTGCATCATCTGGGAATGGTACCAAACTCAGAAAGAGGGGGAAAGAGGGGCAGTGTTTGTTCATGTCACATGTGAGCTCAACGATTCTGAAGCAGAATGATGACATAAGAATATCCATCATGTCTCAACCCACACAAACTCAAGATGAAAATCTGGCTTACTCAGGTGGATTCTTGGATTATCTGGCATCTGCTTTCACATTTGTATCCCATAGTTTGACTTCTGTATTCAATCATGAAGAACTAACCTCCGAAGGGCAAACATCATCACCTACCGAATCACCATCAGAGATTTCAAACAGAGTATCTCCATCCCCCATAATGTTATCTGAGTGTGTCCCTTGTCATCTCTTTCCTGGTGCTTACTTAACTGTGGTATGCCTAGATCAAAGTCCATGGTCAGTGGCCCACCTGCAAATGGCCACAATATTGATAAACTCAATGGTGTGGACCCCATTTTCCACTTTTTGACCTCCCACTGAATCATATATATTCAGGCATTGCTATGAATGGGGTTTCACTATCAGGGGTTTCAAATGAATCACCATCCCCCATACCTTTATCTGTGTGTGTCCTTTATCATCATCTTTTTTTGCTGCTTACTTTATGGTGCTATTACTAGATGTTTAGCGGCGGGCAAGCTCGCCCAGTCCCCGACTCTCTTTTTTTAGCGAAAAAGATCTCTATGTACAATAATGGATCTTCATCATCCTTGGTAGTCGACTTAAATACCATTTCATTGTCATGCACAGGTATATTCCTACTCCTAAATTGCACCCAATTTTATTACAACCTCACTCCTCACCATCTCCTTCGATCTGGCATACCCCCCATGCATCCAGAAAGCACAAACACCCCACATCCGTAACCACATCCAACCTGCTAGATAACATTTTCTGCAAGACACAGCACTCAATGTCAGTGCGTTGACTCACGAAAGTTGAAGGGCGCGATGGCACGCGAACACGTGAGAAGCTTCCTTATCATCTCAGACATAGATCTCTAACTCTGTGAGTAAGCAAGTTCAACTTTTTGACTCCGAACGAAGATCACGGATTCTTCCAGAGAATCCAGGTAACATTTTGAAGTCCGACAATACAATATTCCCATACATAGACTCTTTTTAAGATCCGACAGAAGTTTCTAGACGATGGTTTTGGAGCTATAGAAATACCCATTCAGTAGGGCACATTCGCGTTCGACAGAACCCTCCTTAGAGTCGGGGATCAAAACTCCTTGTCATTGGCCTGCTTTCTAATGTCAAGAATTAGCCAGAACAACTGCATGGTATGGTCTCCATTTTATGCTTTTGGGCCTCCCACTGAATTATATGCAGCCCTCAATAGGGTGCATGATGACACTGCAAAAAAAAATGATGGATGTGCTAAAAAATAGGTGTGTGAAAGTGCCATAAGGTTTTATTTTTCTTACATATTGCTTAGGAAGCCAGACCAAGAGGCTTACTATGCAGATTATGTATCTGTTCTGTAAGCAAAGTTTTGATCTATGTGTGACATTATATATCAATCATGTTGAGCAGGATGAGTGAACCATATGGGGGGATTCACAACATGCACTGATGTGCTAACAACATGAGTAAGTACTGGCCCTTGGGAGAGCTTTGGCCATTTAACCTTATTCCTCTATATTTCTAGTGACATTTGCTGCTGATTTATATTTTGATCTTTGGTACAACCAAAGTCGTACCAGTGAAGTCAGTCCTCACATACCCCCCTTGTACTGAGATGTGTCATGGACTTACATATAGATCAACATTGTGGCTTGTGAAAGTGGGGCATACTGTAGCATTTCGTTCAATTCGACAGGGCCCGTGACGCGTGACAAGCCTGTCAAAATTTTGGTTTCGACAACCTCAGAAATTCGCCGTGACAAGCCGAAAATTTGGGCAAATTTTCGACTATTTAGTGCCGCAGGCGACGAAATTTTTTGACATTTGTCATATGACCACCAGATGAATTCGACACCTTACGGAAATCTGCATGACCACCGTGACATTTCAGCAACTTGAAGGGCCCCGTGACGCATGACCATCGAATTGATTGAAATGCTACAGTATCTGGTCAGTTTTCCTTGTGCTATGAATACTAGAGGCATTGATATAGCTATACTGCAGGCCATAAAGCTGATGCAATTCATTGATCTCTATGGAGACTCCTTTGTTGATTGTGTGTCCAGCTTCAACATTGATTGGAGTAAGTTCTTGTATGGACAGCCAATCAACCTCCCCACTCAGCCTGGTTCAAAAATTTCGAAAATATGCCGGTGTGTTTCTGTGTTATATACAGTTGAGTGCAAAAAGAATGAAGGTTGGTTCATTTTTCTGGTTCTTTCTAAGAATCTATTGTACCTCAAATGTATTTGTGTATTCTTTTACATTATGTAGTTGTGTTACACTTCCCTTGGTATGGACTAATTTCAGTGAAAGCTGGAGCCTTGAGAAGGTTTTTATTCTGGAGGCCATTTTTGGCATCTGAAAAAAAAAAAAATTGCGCTAACTGGAGAGGTAGCCAGAACATACCTCTGGTCAACCTGAATGAGCCTATCAAAGAATTAGTTAAAAATACTGAGCGGTTATGCTTGTAGAGCCTCCAGAAAATGGTCATTTTGTGCTATTTTGGTCATTATT